TGATGGGGGATATTGGGATCCAGCATCACGATATTGCAACGAGAAACTGCAAAGTTGCCGATGGCAATATTGTATTCTTGGACTTCTCTCATGCTAAGAACCNGGATATTGGGATCCAGCATCACGATATTGCAACGAGAAACTGCAAAGTTGCCGATGGCAATATTGTATTCTTGGACTTCTCTCATGCTAAGAACCGGGAGTCCAAATACGATAACTCTGACGATATTCATGATCTTAAATATATTTATGAGTACAACAAGCTCGAAGAAAGCGACGATGATAAGTATTCAACAGTTGGATCAGCTCCATTCTCAGAGGTGCAATTCCCAAGCACTGCTGGAACGGAGCCTACAAAGCCTGATTCAAAATAATCTATGTATGGTGTATTAATATACGTGTTGAAATTTTCAAATTTAGCTATGGAATATATGTAGTATCAGTATATATGAATAGTGTTATGAAACGGGGAAAAATGGAGCAGTTTGAATTAAATTTGACGAGAAAGCTGCAAAAAAATGATATAAAAGAACTTTTACTGAATAAATTTACAAAATCAAGTAATTTTCATCAAGATCTATATAAGTGTCATAAACTAATGTTTTTTTTTGCAAGAAGTTGGACGAGAAGCAACCATTGTTTCTAAAGAGTCTTTATATAAAGTAGTATAAGAATTAGTATACTCTTTCAAAGTTGTTGTAGGTACCGGCAATTCAGCATTTGTAACTGATTTAATAACTTGTCTTTGACTACCGGATGATTTCCCCAAATAGACAAACCCATTATCTAAATCGAAAACCGTATACATATATTTATAAACAGCATTTGGAATGATACTCTGGTAAGTTTCAGTACCAATGGTAGCATAATCTATTTTCAAGCTAGCGTAATCACCGTTCTTAGTATCGATCAAATCAGTTAAAGGAATAGTAACGTCGAATCCGGCAATATTAAAAGTAATTGAAATTTTTTTTAATTCTTTAATTAAAATCCAAGTTATCTCGTTTTCTAATTTAGTATTTTGGAAACAATTATATAAATTTTTATAAATCGCCGGAGTTGTTAACCAAGAGTCAGCACCAGTATCCATCCAGTAAGCCAAAGGTTGATTTGCAATTACTGTTTTATCTTCCTTATTATTAAATGTAACTTGATTAACGGTAACGTCAAGGTACAGATAATAATCAAGAACAAAATTCGTTCCAATAATGAAAATAATTGGAACTTTAACCAACGGTCCTTCATAAGCGTTAGTATCAACCCCACCAAATATAACATAAGGATTATCCGATTGACCATTCAAACTAAATAAGGAAGATTTTGTAATTCCTTGCTCTTTCAAAGCCTGAGGAAAATTAGCATACCCAACACCTTTACCATTATTTGAAGTACGAAATAACGCCTCAAAAGCCCTGAATCCAAGACCAAGAATCCCGGAATATCCAACTATATCCCTAATCAGAGTGTCTTTGGGATAACCCAATGGGAACTTTGATAATTTGAAATCATCACCAACTAAAGTTTCATTTACTGCGAAAACATAGAAAAGATCACTGGAACCATATTGCATCGAGAAAGTTAAGTTAGAATTAATGGCACTGGTAGACTTGGTGATATCATATACCGAATGGGTGATAACTAAGTCAGAAGACCCAGTGTCCAAAACAATCTTCGACACTGATTGAGCTGGTAGTCCTAAACTGAGCGAATTAACAGTATACATAGAATTATCGATTTCCAATGGAATTTGAACAACATTACTAGCAACAGCAGCACAACTAACGGTGGAGACCACTCCAAGCAACAGAATAAGCATATTCATCTTGCCTACTTTCAAGATTCCTTTCCTCCTCCAAAGTCCATGGGTTTAAATACTTGAGCTTTAGTTTCATTTGCAGTTATTCAATGGGCTGTATACAGGAGCCCATAGTACCATAATAACCATTTATGTCTTAAATCAGTCTAGTGTTACTATAGTATTGTCTTATTATAGTCTTACAATGGTTTTACAGGATAATGGGCTCTGGCTGGCCAAGTATCGAATCGTCCGGACTTTGTTAGTATGAATGAGTATGAATGAGTATGAGAATAAGTATATCTTAGTATTCATACGGAACCAGGTATAAGATATATGTAATCAAGAATATAGCCAGAGTATAGTATGTAGCCAGAGTGAAGTCAAAGTATAGAGCAGATCAGAGTAGAGTAGAGCAGAGCAGAGTAGAGTAGAGTATGGAGTATAGAGTAAATGCAAAATCTTATAACTAGTCTAGTCTACCTCAACCTAATTCACCTACTCCCTTACCACTCACTCTAGACTCTACACTCACTATATTTAATCTAGTTCTCTAATCTAGTTCTCTAATCTATTTCTCTAATCTATTTCTCTAATCTATTTCTCTAATCTAGTTCTCTAATCTAGTTCTCTAATCTAGTTCTCTAATCCATTTCTACTCCATTCGATCCTTGTGGAAGCGCACCAAAAAAATCAACTCAAGTCAAAAAACAGTTTCACCAACTGAAACTTTTAATAAACAACTGGAATAGAACAAGATATTCTGCTCTATAGCGCTGAATTCATTTCTATAATGAGTGGGAATCCCGAGAATACCAGTGCCAATTCCAATGCAAGTACTACTACCAATACAAATTCCAATAATAACAGTACAAATACAAACGGTAGTACAAATGGTAATCCAAACAATCTTGATAATATATCATCGAGATCTAGAATAAGAGGGTCAAATCGACCCCGTACTATTCATAGAACGTCATCGCCATCGCCAGCAACCAACAGGATCCCGGAAAGAAGAAGAAATCGATCACCTTCTCGACTATTACCACCCTCATCACCAGCTATAACGTCAACCCCCCATTCTCCATCAAGATCAACTCGTAATATATCCCCTTCAAGACTACAACCAGAGAATTCCAAAGCTCTACCCTCCACATCTCCCAGACGTCGCAATATTGGGAAATCCATCTTTAGTGATCGTTATATACCAAATAGAACCGGGGTAGATTTACAAGCTGCTTTTAGTTTATCTAATCAGGACGTTGTCCCGGATTTACGACGAGAAAATAACTCAACGTCAATTGTAAATACCGACGTTAATGGCGTTGATAACGAGATTGAAATAAGAAAAGAAGAAGAAGCCAATCGAACGTTCCTGTCAGTTTTGAAAGCAGAGCTTTTCGGCGACCAAGTCCCCAATATCACTGCTGATTTATCCAAAAATAGGTCATCAAGAAACACTCCTAATCGTACTACTACTGCAACGACTAATACTAATACCAATACTAATACTAATACCAATACTAATAATAATAATACATCTCCAACAAACACACCTAATGATGACCACAATCTAAGAACAACTCCACCAAGATCGACAATCAATTCTCAAGCCAATGATTCAAATATAACTTCCACTCCAAGACAAAGCGCCAATCTATTCACCTACCAATCCCCCAATAAACCTAGACCAATATCAAGAGATTTACAAAATGAATTATATTCTTTATCACCAGTTAGACAAGAACTGCAAAAATTATTATTAAGCCCCCAGAAAAAACCCAGGAAAATATCAAAAGTTCCTTATAGAGTGCTTGATGCTCCCGAATTATCTGATGATTTTTATCTTAATCTAGTTGATTGGGGCCAACAAGATATTTTAGCAGTTGGTTTGGGTGATTCAGTTTACTTATGGGATGGTTCTACTCAATCAGTCGATCGATTATGTAATTTGGATAATAAAGATAAAGTAACTAGTCTCAATTGGATTGGATCAGGTACGCATTTGGCAATTGGTACTCTGAAAGGTTTAGTTGAAATATGGGATGCAAATAAAATCAAATGTGTTCGTACAATGACGGGTCATTCTTTAAGAGTTAGTTCTTTAGCTTGGAATGAACATATATTATCAAGTGGTTCAAGAGATCGGTCAATTTTAAATCGGGATGTTAGAATCGAAGATCATTATATTAATAAATTAGAATCTCATCGTCAAGAAGTTTGTGGCTTGAAATGGAATATTGAAGAAAATAAATTAGCCAGTGGTGGTAATGATAATAAATTATTCATTTGGGATGGGTTAAATACAAAGCCTCTACATACTTTCACCGATCATTCAGCTGCAGTTAAAGCAATTAGTTGGTCCCCGCATCAAAGAGGTATTTTAGCCAGTGGTGGTGGAACTGCCGACAAGACAATTAAAACTTGGAATACTTTAACTGGTCAATTATTGAATAACGTTAATACTGGTTCTCAAGTTTGTAATTTAATCTGGCTGAAAAATTCAAATGAATTGGTAAGTACTCATGGTTACTCTAGAAATCAAATAATCGTTTGGAAATATCCTTCAATGCAACAAATTGCTCAATTGACTGGTCATACTTATAGAGTGCTTTATCTATCTTTATCTCCAGATGGTGAAACAATTGTCACCGGTGCTGGTGATGAAACCTTAAGATTCTGGAACGTTTTTGAAAAAAATAAACATGATGATCCTCCTTCTTCAGTTTTACTAGATGCTTTTCTGCAACTAAGATAATAACCTTTAATATACCTTTAATACTTTATAAAATATATTCCTCTTATAAGCGGAATTAAATTTTTCAATTGTAGAAATTCGCGATTAGTCATAAAACGGTATATTTTAACTGATTTTTCCATTGAGAGAGTTGAAATTTAAAACTATTCTTTCTTTATCTACAACATGTCCAAACCAACCAGCAAAGATTTAACTCACTTATTATCCGAAGAAGCTAAATCAAGGAAGAATTCTCCTTTGAAAGGAGCTTTCAAATACTTCAAACAACCAGGTATGACCTTTTTAGGTGGGGGATTACCATTACCAGATTATTTCCCATTTGATAAAGTTACTGCTGATATTCCAACTCCACCATTTACTAATGGATTAGGTGCCCAAGTTACCGAAGAAGATAAAACTGTTCTTGAGATTCATAAGAAAGCTGAATTGAATAAAGGCGAAAATGAAATTGAATTATCTAGATCATTACAATATGGTTTTACTGAAGGTCAACCAGAAGTTGTTGGTTTTTTGAAAGAACATACTGATATGATTCATAAGGTTCCTTATGAAGATTGGGATGTTATGGCCACCGTTGGTAATACTCAATCTTGGGACGCTACTTTAAGAACTTTTGTTACTAGAGGAGATGCCATTTTAGTGGAAGAATTTTCCTTTAGTTCAGCTTTAGAAACTGCCAATGCTCAAGGTGTAATCACTGTTCCCGTTCCAATGGATGCAGAAGGTATTTTACCAGATGCTTTGGATAAACAATTGGACCAATGGGTTGGTCCAAAACCAAAATTATTATATACAATTTGTACTGGTCAAAATCCAACTGGTTCATGTATCGATGCTGAAAGAAGAAAAAAAATCTATGATTTGGCAGTTAAACATGATTTCATTATAGTTGAAGATGAACCTTATTATTTCTTACAAATGGAAACTTATACTACGGATGAATCGGCTAGAAAGGGTAAGCAACCTCATAGTCACGAAGAGTTCATTAATGCCTTGGTTCCTTCATACTTATCAATGGATGTCGAAGGAAGAGTCATCAGATTAGACTCCTTCTCAAAAGTCTTAGCACCAGGTTTGAGATTCGGTTGGATTGTTGGTCAAGCTAAGCTTTTGGAAAGATTCCTTAGAATTCACGAAGTTTCTATTCAATGTCCTTCTGGTTTAACCCAATCTTTAACCAATGGACTATTACAGAAGTGGGGCCATAAAGGTTACTTGGACTGGTTAATTGGTTTAAGATCAGAATACACTCATAAAAGAGATGTTGCAATAGATGCAGTCATCAAATATTTCCCCAAGGAAATCATCTCTTTTGTGCCCCCAGTTGCTGGTATGTTCTTTACAGTTACTTTAGATGCCTCCAAACATCCTAAGTTTAAGGAATTGGGTGAAGATGCTCAAAAAATCGAAGACTTAGTCTATGAACAAGGTTTAAAACAGGGTTGTTTAATGATCCCTGGCTCCTGGTTCAAATCTGAAGGTAAAACAAACCCTCCTCAACCTGAATTACCAGAAAACCCCGATACTAAAAACACCTTCTTCTTTAGAGGTACTTACGCTGCAGTTCCTTTGGATCAATTGGTTATCGGTTTAGAAAAATTCGGTAAAGCCGTCAAAATAGAATACAACCTTTAGGTAAGTTCATTAATATATAGATTTCTTTACTATCAAAATGTCAATCTATTCATTTGAGTTAATCCTTGTAGATTATAATGACTTACAAGTAATAGATTATGATAGCTGTGAAAAGTTGGTGGTGCACGGAAGTGTAAAATCAAGCTTAAGTCTTAAAAAACTAAAAAAAAAAAAATATGAAAAAGGCTGAACTTCTGAATATATACCAAATCAACTAAAGCAGATTCGTGATAAGGGATAGCCATTCGTGATGCATATTTTGAAACTACCCTGGCTAAGTCACAAAGGTATGTTAAGACTTTTTTCAAGTTACAAATTCGGTTCATGAGACAACTAACACGACATGTAGCTGAAAATAAACTGATCGAATGCTTTTCAGTCAGTATAAATAATGATGGAACGAGACTAGCTTCGGGAGGATTAGATGGGAATGTGAAGATTTGGGACGTGCAAACAATTCTACAGTTCAAAGATATACCGGAACCGGAGAGTAAGGATAAAAAGAGAAAGTTAGATTTGAATAATAATCAACATGCTTCTTTATTACCGGATAAATCATTGAGACGCCCGCTCTGCTCTATGAGCCGACACAATGGGGTTGTGACTAGTGTGAAGTTTTCACCAGATGGAAGGTTTCTTGCATCAGGCTCAGATGATAAAATTGTGCTAATATGGGAAAAAGACGAAGAACAAGCAAACCGTCCTAAACAATTCGGTGAAGCAGAAGCAGATCTTGAACATTGGACAGTAAGGAAAAGACTAGTGGCCCACGATAATGATATTCAGGATATTTGCTGGTCTCCGGATGGGGCACTCTTGGTGACTGTTGGTTTAGACCGTTCAATTATTATATGGAATGGTTTAACATTTGAAAGAATTAAACGGTATGACATACATCAATCCATGGTCAAAGGTGTTGTATTTGATCCTGCAAACAAATTCTTTGCCACTGCATCTGATGATAGAACGGTTAGAATTTTCCGTTACTATAAGAAACTAAACGAAACCACCCTTAATAATTACGAATTTCAAATGGAACATATTGTGGTTGACCCTTTTAAAAAATCCCCTTTAACTTCGTATTTCAGAAGAATGTCCTGGTCCCCCGATGGTCAACATGTTGCAGTTCCTAATGCGACAAACGGACCAGTTTCTTCTGTTGCAGTTATAAATAGAGGGAATTGGGGTACTGACATTTCACTCATTGGACATGAAGCTCCTTGCGAGGTGTGCTCTTTCTCACCTCGTTTATTCAGATCGAACGATCAAGTGGAAGATTATAATCGTACGTCGAAAATTTCTACTTCAAATAAAGGTCAGAATGAGCATTTTTCAACTATTTTAGCTACTGCTGGTCAGGATCAGACTTTGGCCGTTTGGAGTACGTCACAAAGTAAACCATTGATTATTGCGCAGGATATAGTCCAAAATTCAATTACAGATATCTGCTGGACTCCGAATGGTACAACATTATTCATGAGTTGCATTGATGGTTCTATCACTTGTGTCATTTTTGCTGAAAAAGAATTAGGTGAAGTAGTAAGTGCAGATGTGAATGATTTACAATTACATAGATATGGTGCTGATAGAGAATCTGCAATTTTTGCAGAAAGTACCGAACAATTACTATTAGAACTGAAAGCCAATAAACTATTTAAACATGATAGTGCAATGGATAATAAATTGATTTCATTAGTTGGAAATGGATCTTCAAAATTAGAAGAATCCAAACCAGCTCCGATTACGAAACCAGCGGTGGAACCAAAGGAGCCCAATCGTACTTCTGCTCATCAAGTTAATTTACTTAAACCTAAAAAGACAGAAAAGCTTGTTCAAAATGTCACCAAGACTAAAGATGGGAGGAAAAAAGTTGCACCGATGCTTGTTTCTAGCTTATCGAAAACCTCAAAGCCATCAGGGTTTGATAAACCAGCATTGAATAATACATCATTCAAAAAGAATTTTCAAGTTACTTCTAAAATTTCTCAAACTTCATACTACTTACCAAGATTAGGAGTGCAAACTTCTGTGCATGGAATCAAATTTAGATCTGTTGCTGGTGATATCAATACAAATAACAAAGAGAATGCAGAAGAACAAGATAACGATAATGAAGATATGGGAATCGACCTTAATAATGAGCAAAATCCATCTCAACAAAGCCAGAATATTTCTGGAGCTACATTGAAGAAAAAGAAGAACAAATTGAAACGTTCATTAATGGAAGCAAGATATCCGAATTGTTTTAAGATCATCTCTGATTTGCCAGAAGCCCTTTTCAATAATAGGGCCATTTTAAATAATGAAATCAGTCAATTGTTAAACCAAAAGGATATTATGGCCAATTCCAGTGCCAGTACAGAGATTGACGAAGACATTATCTTTCAAGTACTCGTTAGTGGGATTAAGCATTTCAAAAATCCGAAATATGATTTTTCCCAATCTGATGATATTAATGGAAATGACAATGTGAAAAAAACTGACCACTTGATTACATCTATAATTGAAGTGAGAAACGGTCCTAATTGGAGCGAAGATGACGATGAAATGCCCGACACCGATTATAGCGACCGGATTGATTTCCAAGATCCTACCACGGTGACTATTTCAAACACTGAATTAAAAGACTTTAAGAAATACACATTGTACTTCCCATACAAGATTCAGCATGTGTTACCGGTAGTAATGGAAAACATTCTTTCATACTATGTCTTAGTTTCATTCAGTGGTACAGTGCAAATAATTCTTGCAGAATCAGGTAGTTACGCCACTCCAGGCATAGAATTAGGAGAAAATATCATTTTATTAAAACAAAGAGGACCATTCGTTATGTGTTTGACTAATTCTGGATCCTTCCACTGTTGGAAGTTCCCCGATAATAAGTCAAAAACCGTTCGATTTGAAAGTATCATGAATGGAGTTTCAATTGCAAGTGTCATAAACTCCGATAATGACATCAAAATTCCCGAGACCAATTCGGCAACGAAAAGGCCCACCTCTATCGAAATACCCAGTGTGGTGTCGAAGAATGTCCGGACCATTGAGATCAATCCTCGTGATGGATCTCCGTTTGTTGTTTTAGAGGCAGACTACTCTATTTTTGCCTATTCAATTGATCTAATGGTATGGACTCGTATAATTGACCCATGGTATTTTTCCGCCATTGAAAACAGTTTGATAAACAAACTCGACGGTACAAAGTTGGTGAATACTTTAATTAAAAAGAATTTTGGCAATTACCATCATGACGTTAAAAGAATGAAAATCGGAAAGTATAATTTTGCCAATCCACAAACTTTTGAATTAAAAGACATCATGAAAGGTAAGTTTGAAGAATCAATTGAACTAGCTACAGCATAATATGTAATAATAATGTACATTAACTAAATTTTTTCAGCAGTAACTTCAGGAACTGTCTGATCTTTTGTAGGGGTCTTTTCAGTAGATGACTCAGTAGGTTCTGGTTTAACTGGTTTATCAACCGGTTTTTCAAAAGGAAAAGAAACCAATAAAATCACTGAGCCAATGACATGGTTCAAAGCAAACATCCAAGCAGTCAATCCGATACTACCAGTAGGAAAGAATGGTAATGCAAGGAACCATTCCAAATAATGGGGTAAGACCCCAACTGGTAAGTAGAATAACACCGACTTTCTAAACCAAGCCCTACAGAACCAAATTGGCAACGACGTGAAGATGGTTATGGCCCAGCCAATCACATTGGAAATACTGGTCTTATTAGCAGAAATCGACTCAGTCAATTGACTGATCTCGCCATTCAATTTATCAAATTGACGATTCAATTTGGTCCATCTGGCATATTCATCCTGGGCACTGATGGATTTCTTTTCTTTACCAACCCTGGCCAATTCACTTCTCTTTCCCTTCAACTCTAGAAACTGTTTATGTCCCAACTTGGGTGCAATCCAAGTATAGATCGTCCATCCGAAATCTTGCACCCTCGATTTCCCAACAGCATTGATGCTGTTCTTTAAAACAAGCACCACCAAAACAAGCACGAGCAACGTGAACGGATGAAGATCAAGCATTCCCTGGCAATTGTATAGTATCCTCTCAAGCGATAAGCAAACGGTGGTGTTGGTATGAAGTTGACTTGTTGGTCTTTGATATCCTTTTCAAAAATTTGGCCAGACACTTTCGCTGGAAGTTAAAAAAATTTTTTTTTTTTCCTTTAATGAGGCAAAATTGAAACACCAAGTCCGCCCTATCGACTATCACGAAGAAAGATCGTGAATAGTTACTTAGACAAGGCTTTCCAGCTAGGATAGGTTGACATAGAGATAGATATAGATTGACAATTAGGAAGAGAGTTGATTTAGAAGTCGATTGAATTAAATAGCCCCTTCTAATCCACCCTGAAAAAAAAAAAAAGAATCAATTAAAAGTAATTGAAATCAAGATAGTCAACAGATACCGTCGGGATACAATGTCTAGTGACCCTGAGGAGGATTACATTCCATGGATCCAGCAATTTTGTGAAGCATTTGGACATGAATACTTTGTTCCAGTAGCACAAGATTTTATTGAAGATGATTTTAACTTGACTGGATTACAACTGCAAGTACCATATTACCGAGAAGCATTATATACTATATTAGATTATCAGGTAGAGACAGCCGAAGATAATGGGGGTCATACTAGTAATGGGGGTTCAGGAAGCAAGGGGAAGAATGAATTACCAAATAAAGCATTATTGGCCCATTCAGCAGAGTTATTATATGGATTAATTCATGCTCGTTATATAATTTCCAAACCAGGATTAACAGCAATGGCTAGTAAATTTGAAAAAAATGAATTTGGACCATGTCCAAGGTTTTATTGTGATGGAATGCATTTGATACCGGTTGGTTCTACTGATATACCGGGACAAGAAACGGTTAGATTATATTGTCCATGTTGTAATGATATATATTTACCACTGAGTTCACGATACCTTAATATTGATGGGGCCTTTTTCGGTACTACATTCCCAGGATTGTTAGTTAAAATGTTCCCCGAAATTGAAAATCAATGCAGAATAAGAATAAATAAGGTTAATCAAGATGATTTTGGATTAAAATTATTTGGATTTAAAGTTAATGAATTAAGTGCTAGTGGTCCTAGAATGAAATGGCTAAGGATGCATCCTCAAAAGATTGATCAAAAGAAAGAATACGATACTTGTGAATTAAAGATTCCAAGTGATGAAGAAAATGAAGATGATGAAGATGTTAGTTCTGCTGTCATGGAAAGTGGTTTAAATGATGATGATGATAAGACCATGGCCAGTGAAGGTAACTAAACTTGATATTATAATTGCATGTACTCCCTCCTCTTTTTTGATTCTCTCAACTTTTAATTTTGTCTTTTACTATCAAATATTTAATTAATCCATTTTATTTTTATTTTTATTTTTTATTTTCTTATTCAATCATTCTTCATTTAGTTCTCTTACTGTATTCCACAATTTTTCTTTTATATAACAGTTACTACAATTTTATTCAATTATATGTAAAAATCATGAATTCATGTAATATATATATACAGTAGTTTTAATGGGTTAAATGAACTGGTTTACCGGGTTCCCAGTCTTTAATACCATTTTGAATGTTTACCCAATACTTTAATCTAATTGCTTCCATCATAAGAGAATCCCAATTAATTGGTTCATTCTGCAACAATTTATCCAAGGTCTCTTCTGATTCTTCAATTCTAGCTTCATTTTCTTTTTCAAGCTCTTCTAAATCTGCCTCGTTAGTAGCCATTTCCAAACTTTCATGGGCATCTAGAACCAACATTAGCATCTCCTTATATTCCAAAGATGACTCTGCTGATGACGATTGGAAATTGGCTATAAGCGATTTAGCAACATCATCTTGGGTAATATCCAACTTTTCCGGATGATTGATCTCAATGAAATGCGCAATTCTAGTATACGGATTACGAATAGTAGTATAGCCTTTATTAATTAAAGAACTTATCTGACTTTCGGAATCCCCCAGTTCTTCAGTCTTACCGGATAAGGCACTTGATCCAATAACTATATCGGGGTGATGTTCACTTTGTAAAGATCGATATTCCCGACGCAACTGTCTTTGGTTAATCAAAAAGGACTCCTTGGGAGGTCCACCTTGTGGGAAGTTTTGTGGGAATAAGTCAAAAAATGATTGAACTTGTTGTCTTGATGTACTTATTGAAAATTTACAAATACTATGCCTCTGACAATTCAACCTGAAAACCCCTCTGCCACCGGCAACCCCAAATGCATAGCTAAGCAATGGTCTGCAAAACATGACTAATATCTCCAATTTATAACCTCAATTGAAAGAAATTGATGGTAGCAATTGATTTATGACTCGATTAGATACCCGATTTTCAATGTTGAGTAAGCGTAAAACCGTGGTGTACGGGTGTCGTTATATGATTTTTTCGTTTTTTCATTTGAATCTTTGCAATGGAAATTTGTCATCTTGTTCATCTTGTTTGATTGGTGATTGATTGTTTGACTGGTAAGATAGCATGTTCAAGAAGAGAACGCTCAAAGGCCAGAACAGCAGCAGAAGCAAGGATGAAGACAGGTCCAAGAGAAGACTGATCAGCGCTGGAAGCCCATCGGAATCAGAGCCAGAATCAGAACAAGAATCAGAACAAGAATCAAAACAAGAATCAAAACAAGAATCAAAACAAGAACCAAACCAACCGTTTAAGAAACGCAGGGTTTTAGCAAGCAACGGGACTACGAAGAGACCCAGTCGAGAAACCGAGACCAGAACCGAGCCCACGCAGCAGCTCTCGAATCCGTCTTTGAAAGAGGCAACGGTGGATGATTCACCGGATGATAAGCGGTTGGCGGCTGGTCCCTTGAAACCAGTTCCTATAAACATCAAAACCACTACAATCACCGACTTCCAACCAGACGTTTGTAAAGACTTCCTACAAACGGGGTATTGTGGGTATGGGGACACCTGCAAGTTCCTTCATATACGTGAGGAACTGAAACAACGGGCCCCTGTGGAAAAAGAATGGGAAACCGTTAAAACAAAGACGGATAAGAAGGACCTGGACAAATTGCCTTATAGGTGTGTTTTATGTAAAGAAGATTATAAGAAACCGGTGAAGACGATCTGTGGACATATTTTTTGTAAAGAATGTTTTATGAAACGCTTGAAATTGCAGAAAAAGGCAAAATGCTTTATTTGCAACAAGGATACCAACGGGACCATTCAACCAATCTCCCAAAATCAACTACAGAAACTAATTGAATGATTGAATCATTGAATGATAGATATGCGTGGGTGCACGGGCCTTCTCGTGGGAGCTTCCCCGTGTTAACCGTGTATACGCGAGAGGGTAATGAAAAATTGGAGTAACCGTCTTTTCCTTTGAATAGGTTGGTATTCATTGATCGAGAATGTCTCAAATCCAAGATCAGTTGGAAGGGCTTCCTGGTTATGACATTGTAATGGATTTTTACAATGACTATGCTGAGGAACATTTCAATAATTTAAATCCATACGAAGATAAAGAAGGGAACAAGGTTAAATTACGGTCAAAATTTTCCACTGAGAAGGAAAAGAAACTATGGAAGAGAATCCAATCGAAGGCATGGGTTCATGATAAGTGTTTTTTAGGAAGTTGTGGGGTTGGGATGGATTGTGGATTAGGATTGGCTCCATTATTAGTATTAATACTCCCGGCAATTGGTCCAATAATCATGTTTATGGTTCATAATCGACTTATTAGAGCTGCGGCCGAAGAGTTGAACATGCCAAATAAGTTGGTTGCCAACATGGAAACCCAAATCTTAATTGATTTGATAATCACGTTCCCTCCGGTAATCGGATCGTTCTTCAGTTGGTTGAATTCATGTCTGACAAGAAATGCTGCAATAATATATAAGTATATGATGTTTCTAGCTGATCAAAGAGAACAAAATAAGACTGCCAATTATATCGGACCTAGATCAAGAACTCAGCAGCAGCAACAGCAGCAACAGCACCCCCAACAGCACCCACAGCAACAGAAGACAAAATACTCTTTTAAGAAACAATCTTCTCGTACAAGACAACCAAATCAGGATAGTATTGTTGTTGGGTCTCAACAACAATCAGGGTTTATATAGATAATAATGGTGGGTACGGGTGTTTTGTAGGCGAACAACAAGCTGTAAATAAGAAGCATCTTATCAAGCTTATAATTTTATAACCATTTCTCTCTTTTTAAATAGTGAATAAACATGTATAAAAGACCTGAAGGTATAGAGAATTGTCGTATTTGGATCGATGGGTGTTTTGACTTTGCTCATCATGGTATGTTTCAGTCGTTTACTTGGAAAAAAAGAATGATTATTAACAAGAGATAGGACACGCTGGTGCTATGTTGCAAGCCCGTCAATTGGGTAAAGAGTTGTTTGTTGGGGTTCATAGTGATGAGGAAATCTTGCTCAATAAGGGACCGGTTGTGATGAAATTGGCAGAAAGAATAACTGCAGTGGATGCATGTAAATGGCTGACTCAATCAGTTCCCGGGGCACCTTATGTTACTGATCCAAAAGTAATGGATGAATACGGATGTAGGTACGTTGTTCACGGAGATGATATTACTACTGATGCAAATGGAGAAGATTGTTACCAAGTGGTTAAAGATTTAGGTAAATTTGTTGTTGTTAAAAGAACTCCTAATATTTCCACCACTGATTTAGTAGGAAGAATGTTATTGATGAGTACTAGTCATCATTATAATCCAATTGATAAGAATTTCAAGGCTCTGCATCCACTTTGCAAAGATCAAGAAAAAATTGATAAATTTGCTGCTTATGCCAGCGATGAACTGGGATTGAAAAAGAATAGCGCAGTTTATGCTTACGCTGGGGATGAATTAATCACTCTTGTTGAGCCATCAGAGACAAAATTGAAGCAATACCAGTCAATTGTGTATATTGATGGTGGATTTGACTTATTTAACCCCGGTCATATCGAAGCATTGAAAATCGCTAAAGAAAAAGCCGGTACTTCTGCAATTATTGTTGGTCTTCATGATGATTTGGCACTTAATCAGAACAAAGGATTAAATTATCCCATAATGAACTTATTTGAAAGATCATTGTGTGTATTACAGTGTCGTTACGTTGATGGGGTTGTATTAGGTGCTCCCTATATTCCAAATATGGAATTTTTGAATAAATTACCGGGCAAGGTTAATGCGGTTTTCCATGGTCCTACTCCAATCAATAATAAAGTATATAATGAAGTTGAATCAATTTTCCAAGAAATTGGGCCTCATAAATTTGATGATATGAATACCAAATTTATTGTTGATCGGGTATTACAAAATAAAGAAGCTTATGAAGAAAGACAAAGAAGAAAAGGATGGAAAGCTGAACACGAATCCAAATTAGAAGCCGTAGAAAAGAGTAGTCACTAATTTTTATAATACTATAATTGATCGTTTATTTCATTACTTCGTAACTATCTAAATTAGAATTTATTATTCATTTCGTCATTTAATGATTTTAAATTGGACTCATTAACATTATGATTTGAATTACGTCTTTTGTTTTCTTGCTTGAAGAAAGTGAAAGATTCAAAATCATCATCATCCATCAATTCATCCCCTGGTTGACCCCAATTATTCTTACCAGCACCATTTTTTCTAACTTTAGTAGGATCACAGTTATAATGTCCATTATGGGTGAACCATTTTGGTTTAGAAGCAGCTTCATGGACAGTCCATTTATTAGTTCTAGTCATATTTGTATATCGAATTGATTATTTGTATTTATATATATATATATATATATATTATATACAAGTAGATCAGTAATAAGCAAGGGATATTGCCAGCTATTTATATTCCGTCAAGAAGATTTCACAATCTTCAACTGGCCGAAAGGTCACTTGACTTGTCCAGATCAACAATAGAAACTCCAATCCAACAAAATAAAATCAATTGGCTGGTTATCCCTGTCAAAACTCCTATTTATTTATACCGTTAACGAGTTCCGGTCGCCGTTTTGTTAGCATCAATTCTAAATTAGGTATATTTTGTGGGGTGATAAACCGATTCACACCCCCGGATATGGACCAGTTGCGTGACCGTCACGTGAATGACTCATACAAAGTCATTCGAGTTTCGGCCTGCACTAAATAAGAATGATTGAATTTTCAATTTTGGCAATACCGAAAAGACGGATGAATTGAATGATCATCTTACGTCCAATTGGAGTCAAGTCTTTCAATCTCGTTGATCCAAATGATCCGTGGGACATCGAGAAGACGGTGACTTTTAATTTTTCGTGAATGGTACCATTTTCCGTCATTTCTAGTATTTGCCAAACCGGAGTTACTCCTGGCACTACCAACGGTAAGTCATCTGGGGTCAAGTCTGAAAGCTTGAGTTTATGCTGGAGGAGTTTGTATGCGGTTTCTGCTTCGTGGTGGGTATTTGAATCGAATCCGTATACCAATTCACTTATATCTCTGATCAGGGATTCGTTTTTGAATCGACTGGTTGCTAATGATTTGGGGTGGCCGGTGTTTTGTAATGCAAATTCTCGGTGAAGGGTATCTGGAGTATCTTTAGAAGTGCCGCATACAAACAATTTTCCATCTTTCATGTAGTCACTTACTTGGGGTATAGGGAAATATACTTCATTGGCTAAATCGAGGATTTCACCGCCGAATTTCAGCTTATACTTCATTTTGTCACAATCGTCGATATAATAACCCAAATAGTAGTAGCCCAAATTCAATTCATGGCACATTTGTATTTCTCTCAACCCTGATAAGGTCCCCAAGGACAAATTTGCGTAATCGGGATCCCAAATGAAATAAATCGAAGAGATACCAGTTGGTAAGAAATCGAGTACCGAGATCGCAATGAGTTTATCGTCCAAATAGTAGCACTCGTGGGTAGGTCCGATTCGTTTGTTTTCTTGCAATTGTGGTGATTGTCCTATTTTTGGCCAATTCTCCACCCATCCATTCAATAAACCCCATTGTGCTTTTGTTCCTTCAATTTCCTCCTGATGAAATGGAGTATCGCATAAAAACCGGTCAAAAGACTGCTCATTCAAGTCTTCGGGATCATCGTTATGCACTCGGATCTGATACTTTTTATAAAGTTCATATTTCTCTTTAGTGAAATTGGATGGACCAAACACCGTTTTGAATTTCGTTGATTTTTGCTCGGCTTCAATCAATGACTTTAAGTCAAACTTGGAATTCTTCTGATCTCTTTCATCATCGCCGTCTGAAATGGCCCTAATAAACCTATTAACCGTTTGTCTATGCATTTTCAAGATTTTCAAGTTGTTTAAGTCAGTTCTTATAGTATATAATCGACAGCAGTTTCTAAGCAAATCGGGCTTGTAAAGAAAAGTCCCTGACCTTCTGTATCCTTGATTAATGAATTCATCGTACTGTTCACAGGTCATCTGTTCTACTGAAACACCAATGGTGATTGAAGAGCTTTCACCAGATTTTTCAGCCCCAGTTCGTTGGCTCTCTAATGCTTGGGGGAATTGTTTCTTCCCATGACAATACCCACAATCACTACTCTTAATGTAATAGGGTCTACTTATAATAAGGCCGGTTTCTAGAGACATGGTCGAGTTGGTGCCAGTTCTTCTTCAATCAACCTTTGGATATTCAATTTTTGTATCGTGTTGGTGTGAATGTACGGGTGTGGGTATACTTTTTTTTGAATACTCATCCTTTTTTTTGCTTTCTTAAGGCCTTCAAAAAGTATTAGTAAAAGGGTTCTTATCGATCCATTATAACAGCAATAGAATGAGCAGTTCTATAGGCGCATCACCTAGTAAAGTTAAACAAGAAGGCACAAGTATAGTAGACGAAAAAAGACCCACAACCAAGAATAAAAGTAACGTTAAAAAGGAAAAAGCCAATGATATAGACCATGGGGAAGAGAATCGAGAGGAAGGAGACGCTGATCATGCTATATTATCGGACCCAGAAGATTATTTAGAGGAAGATGAGAGTCTAGATATGAATTTGAGCAATGGGAATCAAAAGATTTGGTTAGTTAAATTGCCACGATATTTGGCAGAAAAATGGTCCAAGACGGATGAATTAGAAGGCAAACAATTGGGGAGTGTTAAGATCAAACAAGGAGGGGGTCCCAATTCCAAATTACAAGTGAAATTAGAGCTTAATAATGAACTGATGCAAAACGATGATCTGATTCCAAGAGAATATGATTTATCAGTGTTAAATACACAAGTTAAAAATTCATATGTTTTCAGTGAAGAAAATTTAAAGAAATTCAAACAGGAACTTACAGAAGTGGCTGAAATGCCCGAGCAACCTCAATTACCATCTCTTGATAAGAAGAAGGATGAAAAGAAGCCGTTTAAATTCTTCCGAGTTCAAAAAAGTAGAATGGGGGTTGATGGGAAACCCATCAGAAAATATGTACCATTTGTTAAGACCATTCCTAAAAAGACTCGATTAGTTGGTAAGATATGTCATGATTGTCAAATAATACCATCTAAAACTGATTCAAGGTACAGTGAAGTTGTTATGAAAAGACAAACTATTCAACAAGCCAAACCAAGACCAAAAGTGACCTTATTAGAAGAAATTCCTGGGGTTATACAATCGAATGCCGGTCCCTCAATCAAGGGGAATAACACTTCGGTGTTCTTAAAATCCAATCCTGTTAAGGGTAAGAATGGTGAAGGTAGAGCCATTAGAATGCCCAAGAAGGATTTATTAGATTTATTATTTAGATTATTCGAAGAATATGAATATTGGTCAATGAAAGGATTAAAAGAACGTACTAGACAGCCCGAAAGTTATTTAAAAGAATCTTTAGATTCAATTGCTAATTTAATTAAAAAGGGTCCATATACTTCCAAGTATAATTTAAAACCGGAATATAGAAGATTAAGAGATGCCGAAAGAGCGGCAAGATTGGGTTTAGATACTAACGAAGATGATAAAGATGATGATAAAGAAGATGAAGATGATGTTGAAATGGAAGACGTTGTATAAATTTATAATAATACATGATTTAGTTTAAATTTTTAAATTTTTTATTAATTTAATATGTATACATAAAGAAAGATGTTTTAACATTAAATTTAAAGTTGTTCAACTTTCAAGGTTGGTGGTAAAGATTGTTGTAATTTCTTAGCTTTAGCGGCATCGTTAACAACTAAAGTGTATTGATATCTAGAACCTCTAACCTTGAATTTGGTTTGTTTAACTTTTTTACCGTTTAAGTTTAAAGCTTTGTTGGTTTTAACAACGGCAGATTTGATGTCTGCTCTTCTGGTTAATTCAACGAATTTTTTGATATCTTTAATTTCACGCTATATTAATTGTTAGTATACTAATCCATGATCCAAGGTCAATTCAATCTTTCGCTTCGTCTTCACATCAAACTCCTTCCTCCTTCGATTCTTTCGCTTTCTTTCATCTTGTTTCATCTTCTTTCATCTTCTTTCATCTTGTTTCATCTTCTTTCATCTTGTTTCATCAACCACCCAAACACAGCTACTTTCTTGACCTCATTCTCCCGGTATATCTTGTACATACAGCCATCTTTAATGTTAATAGTAGGTTGGTATCAAAATAGGTGTAGTAGTTAAAAGGAGTTTTTCAATTCTTTTTTTTTTCACTACTGAACTTCCCGTGAGATTTTGTTAGTGAATTTTTCGTTTCGCATTTTTGCCCATCGCCAAATGCGCCAGGGCTGAGCCCTCGATGCGAGCACGTGACGCACGTCAATATAATTATATATAACTATCTATACATACATCTATTCATGTCTATTCATTGCTATTCATTTCTATTAATATATATCCATACATAGTTATACAGTTATACACCCGCACGAGCTGTTGAGTCGAAGGTGATCAATCTTTTGATTGCGGTTATCCAGCGTCTTGTGTTGTCGTCAATCATTATATTAGCAGCCATCTGCTTGTTCTCCCCGGTTATCTTCAGAGAAGCACTTCTGGCATGGATACCGATGCTTTTGACCCCAATGGGCCAGGCCACGTTGCCAATGCTTAGTTTCATGTAGTTTTCATTTGCCTTGTTGTAATCATGCTGTTGCAAATAGTAGAAAATGGTGGCCAACGATATTAACATGTCCTGTTTGAGTTTATGGCTGCGTAGCTTGTATAAGAGTTTCACCAAATCCCGTTTGGTTTCGAAGAGAAGCTGCTGCTGGCGTTGCAGCTGGTCCGGGTCGACCAATTTCTGAGTATGGTTATCCCAGTCGTGAATCAATTTCTTAATATGCACTCGAAGTTGTAAGTATATCTTTGGGTGTTGTTCGATATCGGTGATTTGTTGGATATCGATCATGGGGTCGACTGCCTCTTCCATGTCCAATTGTTTCTGGTACCGATCGTTTCGTTCTTTATTCCGAAGGAGGATATCGATTTTCTTAATCTTATCAATTTTGCTTAGTTCTTCACTGTATTCGTTGAATTGCACGAGTGTTTCGTCCAACTTGGACTCGCTAATGTCATTTAATCGATCTTGATCTTGATCTTTCTGATCTTGATCTTCCTTTTGATCTTCCTTTTCCTCTTTTTCCTCTTTTGCCTCTTTTTCCTCTTTTTGATCCTCTTTTTGTTCTTTTTCATTTACTTCTTTTTCGGTTTCAGTTACTCCTTCATTTATATCATCATCTAGACGCCTTTTCGGAGCAGCACTGGCCCGCTTCTTGTCTATCTCCTTCGATAGGAGACTGGCAAAATTCATCCCTTGACGTCTAACCGAGGACACTCGTAAAGTTTGACATGGATTTGAAGTCGTACCGAAGGAACAAAGAACCAGCAAAAAAAAAAAAAAAAGAGAGCGAAAGAAGGAGAAAGAAATGAACAAGCCAACCCCATAAATTGATTAGAAGATACTCTTCATAGAAGTTACTCAATAGGCTGGTAACATTAGAAATCATCGGTGCCAGATCTCCGGGCGTATTTTGTTGAGTAGTGAATCTTTTAGTTCCAATTGCATCCAGAAGTTTGCGTTAAAAGACCCTGAAAATCACAAGATCACTATCGGAATCTTAGTTGATTAACATGTCTAATAAGAATGGGGTCTCTGAACCCGTGGTTACAGAACCCAATTCAACTTTGGAACCATCAACCAAAAAAAGTCATTCGAGAAATAGCTCTCTGACCAATATACCACAATCACCAGCTTCCACTGGTAATACCGATAAAGAAGATGGTTCAACCACAGAAGTTAGAGCCCAATTTACCGACGAAAGTCTTGTTGAAAACAATGATATTTCTTTACTTAATAAGACAAAACCACAAACATCTCCACTATTATCTTCAACACCACCAACCGTGGCCAAATCTTTAATCAAAGCATATCCATATTTGCTTATTGTTAATAAGATTCTTTCAATAGTGACCTGGACTAATGATGATTATTGGGTCAACTTGATAATCCTTAGTTTCTTTGCATTTAGTGTATTGTACTTTGAAAGTTTGGTAACTTGGTTTGGTCATTTAATTGTGGTTGCTATAATTACTTTATATGCTTTACTTAATAAAAGAATTGTGGAAGAGACCAATTTACATCCCACTTTAGATGATGTGGTTCAAGCTTTAACTACTACTTGTATTAAAGCAGATATTTTGCTTACTCCAATTACTTCACTTTCTTTAACTGTTTATGATATTAAAAGATTACTTTTCACAACCGTTTTCTTAACTCCAATCTATTTGATTATTACCTTTTTAATGATTACTCCAAGAACAATCTTATTGCTAGCAGGTATTTACATTTTCACTTATCACTCAACTTACCTGAGAGTTACTCGTAAAATGTTATGGAAAATTAAATTAGCAAGACTCTTATGTTTTTACTTAACTGGTTTGGATTTCTCTCAAGCTAGAAATCATTCATTATTTGCAGCTGCTTTTGCTAAAGTTCAAAAAAATAATAACTTAATTAATCCTTTAAATAAATCAGATGCTTCAAATAAACCAGTTAGATTCACTTATGTCATATATGAAAATCAAAGACGTTGGTTAGGTATTGGTTGGACTTCTAATTTACTTTCTTATGAAAGAACTCCTTGGACCGATGAATTCTTAAATGAATCTTCTTCAATCGAATCTTTCCAATTACCAAATCCTGAAAATAATAAATATTCTTTTGGTCAACAAGGCTCAAATCAACTTTCTCTCACCGGGGCAAGATGGAGATGGGTAGATAAAACTTGGAGATTGGATTTAACTAATGACGGTGCCATTACTCTACCAAATAGTAAACGCTCTAAAACTACTGCAAATCCAAGCTCAGATGAAGGTTTCATCTATTCGGATAATACTTGGAAAAAACCTTCAACCGATGACTCTTACTCTAAATATACTAGAAGAAGAAGATGGATTAGAACTGCTGAATTGGTCTTTGATAATTCGGCTCCTACTACTAGTGAAAGTATCTCTCCAACTTCTTCAAGATTTAGTGATGATGCCAGTGTTTCAAGCTCTGGAAGTACTACCTCTATCTCAGAAGATTCTAAATCAAGAAAAAGAAAAAGCTTAAGGTTTGCTGAACCTGATAAACCAGATTTACAAGACCTATCCATCGATGAAAATGGTGAAGATGACGAAGACGTTGCTACTCTAAAAGAATCTCAGGTCGAACCACTCGCTTCTCAACAAGCTCCTTTATCCCAACCTCTCGATAAAAAAGTGAGCTAACCTTTGTATATCTCCCCATATTGTATTCTTTATTCTTAACTTACAACTGTAGTCTCTGTCGCTGTACTCCATATCGCTGTACTCCGATGTTAAACTCTCGGAGATGGCCCTATGGCCTTGTTGCAGCATTGCGAAAACTCCTATAAAAAAAAAAAAAAAAAAGAGGGTTCGGTGATCTCCGAAGAAGATGCTTTTGCGATAAGACCTTTTATCTAAATGAAAAATCCTATATAAAGAGCAGGAATCATCCCTTCCAGTAGCACCAATTTCAATATTCTATAAGCATAACAACTTATTCAGCGATGTCACAATTATTAGAATCCTCCTACGGTAAAGCAAACGTCAAATTCCTCAAAGTTAAGAAGAATCCAAGCAATCCAACTGAGCAAGAAGTCTTAGAAGCTAATGTTCAAGTTTTATTAAGAGGTGGTTTTGATGTTTCCTATACTAAAGCCGATAACTCTCCAATTGTTCCTACCGATACTGTTAAGAACACTATCTTGGTTGAAGCTAAGAAAACTGATGTCTGGCCAATTGAACGTTTTGCTGCTCATTTAGCTAAACATTTTTCATCTAAATATGCTCATGTTATGGGGGTTGAAGTCAATATTGTTCAAGCAAAATGGTCTCGTTTCAATGTCAATGATGCTCCTCATCCTCATTCTTTCAAACACGAAGGTCCAGAAACTAGAAGAGTGTTTTTGGATTACTGTAAAAGAAAGGATAAATTGGTTGTTAAATCGTCTATTAAAGACTTAACCGTTTTGAAATCAACTGGTTCCATGTTTTACGGTTATAATGTATGTGATTACACTACTTTGAAACCAACCAAAGATCGTATTTTATCCACCGATGTTGACGCTTCTTGGACTTATAGCAGTAAAGCTTTATCAAACTTTGAAGATGTTTTCAAACAAGCTGATGCTGGCTTATTTGATAAAACCTACGAAAATGCTAGAAAAGTTACCTTGGACTTGTTTGCTCTCGAAAACTCTGCATCTGTTCAAGCTACCATGTATAACATGTCTCATAAGATTTTAGAATTGGTTCCAGAAGTTGAAAATGTTACTTACATTTTACCTAACAAACATTACATTTTATTCAATTTCGAATGGAAAGGTATCAAGGATAATTCTGAATTATTCTACCCATCCCCAGATCCAAATGGTTTAATCAAGAGTACTGTCGGTAGAAAAGAATCCGCTAAATTGTAGATGTATATAATGGCATATAATGTATGAGTTTTTAATGTATATTTGAATAAAAATACAAATGTGTAATAATACAGAAGGTCACGAAACTTTAGTGACTTTAATACTGGCTGGAATATTAGAAAACAACTCAGTATCAGATGAAGATAAACTTAATTTTTCCAAACAAACTGGATACTTGATATCCTTAGATAAACCAACACTCAACAATGAAAGTGACGTGAGTTTTTTATATTGAGTAATATTGGCTTTTTTCAAGTTAATATAGCAGTCCTTTAAATTCAATGTTTCAAGAGTTGAAAATGTTTTGGGAAGGAAATTTTCGAAACCATTGCATGATTTCAAAGTCAATTCTTTGAGTTTAGGAAATGAAGGGTATCCGCCTTTTTCAATTGTGCAATTAGCTAATGTCAATATTTCAACATTACTAGGAATATGCTTCAAGTTAACACTGACTCCTGAAAGATGAACAGTGGTACTTGGTTCTGGATAATAATAGTGAACCAATTTTTTTCCGGTTGATTCTGGGGTTTTATTTGCAATGGTGAAGTTTGTTAAGCCATTTGAAAAATCAGTAACGGTGTAGGCAATTTTATCTTGCCCGGTTTTAATTTTAGAAACTATTTGTTTAAATAGTTTTTCAACTTTAGGAAAACCAATTTTAGGAGTGATTTTACAAGAAAGATTTAAATTGAACTTGTTAGAAACTCCCTTTTTGTTGACTAATTCAACTAAAGCCCGAAGGGTTTCGAAATCACATTTATTGTTCAAATCCAAGCTTAAGCTTATTTCTCGTGGGATATAACTAACATAACCTGACGCAAGGTATCGGAAGAATTCAGTTAATGAGCCATAAGATAAGTCGGTATATAAAGATTCTTGTTTGATTGAGATTTCCCCAAAGTTTTCCTTGAGAGAGTGAAAGTAGATACCATCTCTTGTTAGTCTATCTATTAAGGAAAAATGAAGTTCACTACCTTTAGAAGCAGCCATAAGAGTGGCTGCAAGTAGATTCAAGGGGAGTTTTTCCACCAAGTCGAGTTGTAATTGCAAGGGTAAGTCGTAAACAGTAGCAAAAGTAGTCATACTGAGTATAAAATAAAGAATAGGCAAACAAAAGAGATATTGGGGAAATGGTAGATATTTATACTACAGGGAACCTATTTGTACCCAAGTCCAAACTATCAGTTTCCGTCAGGGTCTTATTTTTAGAAGTTGAGTTGCTGCAAAAAAAAAAATTTTAGAAACTTTTTCACTTTTTTGCAGCAAACCCTGGCTATTTATAGATACCCAAGCCCCCACTTGGTAAAAAACTCAGTAAATAATAGATTAGAGAAGCTGGTAGAACGAAGAAGATAACGGAATATCCAAGGATAGTGGCTGCTCTTGGGTAAACGTTTTTGTTGTGTTTGTGAGTACACTTTATTGTAAAAAAATCCAAAATTTTTACAAAAAAGAACGAATACTTTACAAATAGTGAATAAAACAAACAATTGCATTGACTATAGAAGGAAAATCATTAAAGGAGTAAGTATCATTAAAGAAAGATAATAAAGGAATGCATAACCGAATAAGATCGATAGAGATCAATTAAAGCAATAACGAGAGAATTGAAAAATGAATGACAGGACACTAATACTAGTGAATTTAAAGAGTACGTTCATCAACAACTTTTAAAGCAATACCAGTACCACCAGTACAGCCATTGTTAGCCAAGGAGAACTTGTTGTCACCAGAAGGACAAGCAGACCAGTTATCTTTACCATTGTAGGTTAAGTGACCATCTTTAATTTTGAAACCTTTAGAAGGAGCTTGACGACCGAAAGGAGCAACGTTACCGAATTCACCGGTTTTTGGATCAACGTAGATTCCTTTTTGATCTTGATCGTATAAGGTACCATCGGATCTTAAGGTTAAAGTGACATCTTTACCTTCGTCACCACCAACGGAGAAGACATGAGGATGAGAATCGACTTTTTTGATGGCAGCGTATTGGAATTTAGAACCAGTGTGAATAGAAACAACCCCGAATTGGTATTCATTTTTCTGGTCAACAGCCCAAGTTGGTTCAGAAGCTTTAGTGGTTTTGGAGTCCTTTTTAGCATCTTTAGTAGTGGCAGTCGAAGTAGATGGGTAAACGTTATCAACGTCTTTGATACCGGAGACTAAGATACCAACTCCAAGGTTATCAGAAGCACTGGCGATATTTAAATCTTTAGATTTGGTGTTAACACTGAATTGTTGTTTGTTATCGTAAGTAAGGGAAGAAAGACCATTGCCGGAAGAAGAAGAGGTAAGGGCAAATTTCTTGTCGGCCTTGTCACTTTCAACAAGGTTTTTGTTTGAATCTAAAGAAATGTATTTTTTGGTTTTAGCATCAACCAAAGATTTATCATCGTTCAAGATGAATTCAACTTGGTCACCTTTATTAAGAGTGATTGAGTTACCGGACTTGGTGACCGATGCATATTGGTAGTCAGAACCAGAATGGGTTGAGACAGCACCAAAAGATTTAGCAGCAGCAGCAATGGCAATTAAAGTGGAAATAGAGAAAACAGTAGAGAATTGCATTTTGTAGTTATTTGGTTGAGTTGTTTGTAATGATGAAACGAAATTACAATGATAATTGATGGAATCAATTGTCAATTTATATTCTTTGCTTTTTTTGCAGACAATTGCTTCAAAATACGTATGAAGGCTTACCAAGAGGCATTTCCCCAAGCCTATTAAAAGATTAATCCACAAGAACGCATATAAACAACAACACTACTCTAATGTAAGGCAAGGTATTAATAGCATCACAAAATATGTCATCACGGTTACTCAAAGTCAAAGTACCCCAAAGGAAAACGGCAAACTCTCACCTCAAATGACCTTTTTGGCACCGGGACCAAACCATCAGATCCCCCAAATTTAGAGTCCTCGGGTGGTTCCCGACATAACTGTACCTAATTTCACTTTCTGATGATATTGAGCCACTAGCGGATTACGAGGTCGTATTCTTACAAATCAATAAGAGGTTGTAATGCAACCTTTCCGAACCACTCAATTGTTTAAATTCTATTTCCTTTGACGTATTTTTTTCTGTTTTGTTGATGTTTCTAAATTTAATGTGATCTTTTTTTTTTTCTTTTGTTAGGCGTTTTTGCTAACAAAACAAAAAAAAAACACTGAAATGGGGCTTCTTTGCATATCAGATGCGATGGGCCGATCTGTCAAACGAGGATTACATCATAGCTGCAGAGCAGGAGACTTATGAAGAGAGGGAAGAAAGCCGGGGACAGGGGTCATGAAGCAGGTTCTTCAACGGCATTGAGGTGTTGTTGGTATTACCCCAGCAAACGAATGGTGTTGTGGTTTCTATTAATACCGTAGAGGGGATGAAACATTGTCATTAAAAATCAAGAGATTGTTTATTGCTAAGAGAAAATGGTATACGAATGTCTATTGTGAAAGACGGAGCAACATGATTATTGGGACAATGCTTGGATTAAATCGTTGAGTAGGTCATCGGAATTTTCAATACCAATACTAATTCTTAGGATATCCGGAGCTACTGTGGCATCACTTAAGGCTCTCCATTCAATCAAGCTTTCGACGCCTCCCAAACTAGTAGCGTGTTCGAAAAAGTTCAATTTTGAAGGTAATCTTTTAGCGAAATCTTCACTTTTAACCTTGATTGAAAACACCGGAGTATGAGCAGTAACCTGGGTTGCGATATAGGAGTCTTTTTGTAAAGAGCCATGAACGATTTCCACCAAGTCCGGGAACTGACCGATGTTTTGCGAAAGATATTCAACTATTCTAGTGGCTGATCTAGATTGCTGTAAAACTCTTAGTTCGAGGGTTTTCAAACTTCTTATTAAGAGGGCAGATTCTAAATTGCCGATATTAGACCCTAAGAAGACTCGATCGTTGAGAAGCTGGTTTTTAATCTCACGATCTTGGGTAACTAGCACCCCGGCCAATAAATCGCTATGACCACCAAAATATTTGGTGGCAGAATGCATTACAATATCCGCTCCGTGTTGGAAAGGATCTTGAAGCGGAGGGGGAGCAAAAGTAGAATCAACCATTAGGAGGGCTCCATATTTATGTGCCTTTTCTGCATAATATGAAATATCAAAATAAGTTCCATCGGGATTAACTGGAGTTTCTAAATGAACGATATCTCCCTTTTGCAACACCGAAAAGTCATCATCGAGTCCGATTTGCACAAGGCCCTGGTTCCTCTTGAAAATATCAACTATTCCATGGCACCCATGGTACCCCTTACCAATGGCAATGGTACGAGGATTGAAGAGCGTCAACGCAGCGAAAAAGGCCGAAAGTCCAGAATTATACACCACACTGTGTCCCTTGACAATAGGACCAAGCAACGCTTCTACACTATTTGAACCAGGATGGGCCAACCGGGAGTATATTGGGGTATCGTCGATATTTTCTTTATTATCAGCAGCCTTGACCAATTCGTCCGGGTTGGACGAATACCTAAACGTCGTGGAGACATTGATTGGTGGGATAACGTCAGGAACCCGCTTCAAGTGGTCTGCGGCGTGAATAGCGTTGGTGGAAAGTCCAGTCATGTTTGCTTTATTCGTATCTAATTGGAAAATAGGATACTGGGATCTTATATAAGGGAGTTTAATGGTTTTTCGTTGCGAAGCTCGCAATTAGTCATAAGAAAGCGCAATACCAGCCATACCCATATAGCCATATTCACCCATACCAACACTACTCATTCTACACTGATCCCTTTGGCAATGGGAATAGTTGATTTGCAGCTTACGGACTCCCTTGAGCAGAGGCTGGAACGGTCGTTTTTTCTTCTTTACTCGTTTATGAGTTTCTGAACTAACGCCACACCTTAGCCAACCACGCAACCAATCACACGCTACGTTGCCTTCTACCTGAATAGCAGATACTGTTCCCACCGTACCAGGAGGAGAGACGGTGTAGATGTTGCAAAAGGATGAAGAAGAAACCCCGTCATCACACGACCGTGCAAAAAAAGATCAAAAGATGAACCGAATTGAAGTACTTCACCTAATGGCCAAGGTGGCAGAATGATTATTGGGTCGGTAGAGATAGATGATGGCGTTGAGTTCTACGAGTTTCTAGAGGTGGAGCGAGGGGCCAGTTTAGAACAGATCAAAAGACAGTACCGTCGGAAAGCGCTCCAGTACCATCCGGATAAGAATCCGAGTGAAGAAGCCAAAAGGAAGTTCAACCAGCTTTCGATAATATACGAGATTCTCAGTAATGAAGAGCTACGGAAACGGTACGACGAATGGAGGTTTCAGGAAGAGGCGCCGATAACAAGCGGCGACGGTAAACGAAACCAATTTCAAGAAGAATTGAAGAAACGGGAGCGAGTCCACCGGGATTCGACAAGAGTGTACGACGAAGTCAATAAAGAATACGTTAACAAGAACGTATTCAACAATAAGGTTGAATTGTTGAGAGAAGAAGGAATCAGATTGCGCCGATTGGAAGAAGGAACCAAAGCAAGGAAGAACCATCTTAGCTATAAGGAGATGAGGATTCCGCGATACCATTACGTGAAGAGCGGACCCCTTAGCCATGGGGCCCGAGTCACCTGGAAACATAAACCCGAGTTGAAAGGACAGTTTAATGAAGAAGTACTTGGAGAAATCATGGGCCAATTTGGCAAGGTGACAAGTGCGCAGATTATTGATGATAGCGGGCAAAATCGCTACGATTCAGGAGTGGTTGAATTCGAAGAGTTCAATAGCTATCAAACAGCGATAAACCACGATTATCAAAGCGCCAAACTCTGGGACGGAACCCCAGTTCGAAAACTCGCCAGTTTACTTCGAGGCTGTAGACCAACGCGGATAGCGTACGATAACGAGAAAGTTAACCAGTTAATGGACTCGATTCCGAGCGATTACAGATTCAACGAACCATCGTCGGGGATCCTAGGAGAGTATTTAGATTCGATGGTTGCAAAACAACTTAATAATCTCTAATGTATTAAAATTATAAATAAATAAAGGATACTAATACTAATGTAAGAATAACATAATGAATTATTGGTTTAAGAAAAAGTATGCACCAGCAGCTAAAGCAAATATAATAGCACCAATCAAAGGCATGGATAATCCACCTTCTTCAGCAACAGCACTGGCAGTTTTGGCGTCTTTGACAACCCCCCCTTCGACTTTACCAATAAGCAACCCTTTCAAGATCTCATGGGCATCGTCAGAATGGCCAATATCTTCAAATGCTTCGGTGGCATCAGTACCAGCAACATCAACAACAACTTCTTCTCCACCAGGATGTTCATCAATATATGGACTCACATCGTAGACTCTACCGTTGTAAACAATCCATAAATCGGATGCAGTATTATGTTCAGCAACTTCTTCAGCTTTGATAACCCTTAATTCTTCTTCGGACATGGCACTATCACGTATACTATCTGTTCTCGAGTAAATAAAGATTTATGTATATATATATATATATATTAAATTTTTCGCTTTTGTTGTGCTCTTTAATTTTTTTTTTTTTTTTTTTGGCTTTCGCTGAAACTTTTGTATACGACAACACGAATGAGACGATTTTAACTGTCTTCCACTGATGGAAAATCAAATGGAAAATCAAATGGAAAATCGAATGGAAAATCGAATGGAGAGGATTGTGGTGTTATAAGACTCTGCGTGGAAAAGGGATTGCACATGAGAGTATCTCCCAGTCTAGTTAAGTTTTCCCCTCTGACTTTGAGATCTAATCTATTAATCCCAGGGAACTTCTCTGCCGGTGTTCATGTGAATTACCACTGATAACACTGTGACTTTTGATCTTTGTTTGTTTGAAGCCAATCATTTTCGATTCAAAGGTAATCAGGGCCCGTACACCCGGCAGCGGGATCCCTTATACCAAAGGGGTAAAAATGTGCTGGGGTGATAAGCACTGGAGTTGCAAAAGGTGTTTTGCAACTTGGTACGGTACAGGGCATTACAAGTGGTTGAACAGATGTTTATACTATTTTACATGCCTATGAACTTACAAGTATAATTGCTTCAATCACAACTATAATTGTTTCAATCACAACTATAATTGCTTCAATCACAAGTATAATTGTTTCAATCACAAGTATAATTGCTTCAATCACAACTATAATTGTTTCAATCACAACTATAATTGTTTCAATTACAACTATACCTGATTTCAATAATTGAATTCGATACTTGATTTCAATCACAACTATAATTGTTTCAATTACAACTATACCTGATTTCAATAATTGAATTCGATACTTGATTTCAATCACAACTATAATTGTTTCAATTACAACTATACCTGATTTCAATAATTGAATTCGATACTTGATTTCAATTACAAACTATAATTGATTCCTTTGGTCTTTAAGTTTTCACTTCTAGACTGTTTACGGGAATTGAACCCGTCTTGCAATTTATCCCATTCATCTTGACTTTTCAAGTTGTTGTGCTTGTTGATTAACTTTTGCTGCCATTGGTTAGCTCTGAATTTACGGTCACGGTCTCCAATGAATAAATTCTTTTTTGGTTCTTCGATAACTTGCACTTTTAATAAATGCCCATAGATCAAATAATTATTCATGGTTTCTGCCGCAATCTTGGCAACGTCGTAGTGTTTGAATTGAATGTATCCATAATGTTTTGATGCTCCCGATTTTTTATTTCTTGATATTCTCAATCTCTCGATATCGCCAAATTGGCTGAAGTATTTCTTCATTTCAAACTCTTCAAATCCTTTGGGGATTCTCCCAATATATATGATTCCTTTCTTTTCTTGTTTGGCATCTTTACTTTGTTTATCTTGTTTTTTGTTGGTCGTAAGATTGACGGAATGGCCTCCCTTATTTTGTTCTTCTTCTTCGTCTTCACTAGATAACCCTTCTATGTCGTCGTCGCTTTCTTCAGACAATTCTTCCTCGCTCCCTTCGCTTTCTTGCTCAATTTGTAAGTCGGCTTCGATTTCGTCAACCGATCTCTCCTCCTTGTGGGTTTTGTTATCAGCACCATCACCTTGGTTCACCTTATCAACAGTCTTATTGTCAACCTTACCAGACTTAGCTGGATTACCTTGCTTCTTAGCCATCTTATTCTTTATTCACTAAACTATATCAATACCTCCAGTAGTAGTTTTTTTTAAAATTTTCATGAGAAGCTCATCTCAGTTTTTTTTCTTTTGGATTTTTTTTTTTTGGTGTGTGTGGTGTGCGGGTGTTTTCTTCATACAGGAACCAAATCATCCATCAACTTCAAGGTTTTGGCAACCGGTAAGCCAACAACATTGAAATAGTCGCCTTCCATGCCCTTGAAGAGCAAGCTGCCCTTTTCCTGGTATTTGAATCCTCCAGCGGCCTCAAGAGCTTCTCCCAGAGATACATAGCTTTGCAAAAAAGCATCATCTAGTGACTCGTTGAACTTCAAATGGGTCACCTCGGTATCATTCACACTATTGGTCACTGTTCCTTGGCTGACTAGGAAAAAATGAACACTGGTAAGAACCGATAGTTGGCCCACCTGGCGATACTTCTTAAGCCATTCCAATTGGACTTTGGGGGTCGATGGTTTCTCGAGTATTTCGTCTCCACATAGTACTACGGTATCGGAACTCATAACAACATAGCGTCCGGTCTTCAATTGGTCAATCACCGCTTGCGCTTTATGCTTTGCCGTCAAGCTTACATACTCACTGGCGCTAACATCGGTTTTCTGTAAGTTTTCTTCAAAGTTTGATCCAATCACCAAGATCTTCTCCTCGGGGATTCCAAGATTGGTTAGAAGAATCTGTTTTCTGCGGGGCGATGTCAGCGCAAGGACAAACTGGGACCGAGAGAACAATCGTTCGTATAAGGGCGGGTTAAACATATTGGATAAATAAAGGTGGATACGGTTTTAATTACTCAACTTTTTGATTTGATTTCTTCTCAAATTAAATCTGGTGTACGGGTGGAAGAAAGCTTTTGCAACCGTCGTTCAGTCAGAGGGCCAGTCTTCTGCCCTTTAGCTGATTCTATTGATATCTAGGCTAATCTTGATTATCAATATGCTCTACGATATTTACTTTTCTAACAGTGATCCCATATCGAATCTTTCAGGAATATATAACTACAGATTTGTTATTGCAGCAATTGATAATCTATTCGTGAGTTATCTTATGTATCCCAGTTCCAAGCACCATTGTCTCTATGGCCACGAACAATGTACGGCACCTAATTCATGACAGAAAGTATCACAGTGAGCAGCTAGTCAGGCCCCGGTACCAGTATATTATAGGGTCCGTTCGAGAAACTTGATCATTATGAATTATAGCTTAGAGTAATGATATAATTTTATAGTTCTTGATACACAAAAGACAAGGCATTAAAAGATTGACGGTGGCTCCAACCATCTTTTCGAATATTTTGATTTTGGAAGTAATACGACTCTAGTTGCAAATACAAATACAATTTACTATACATAATATACACCGCCAACTAGGACATTTCGACATCCACATCGGGGGTCTTAGATTGGTTTTTGGCACTCACTGCTTTCATTGCTTTTCTGAAGAAGGCCGTTTGGGCAAAACCTTCCTGCTTACCTTGCGGTGAATCAGGAGTTTTATCTTTTTCTGCTTTGGCGTTAATTTTTACGTTGGGGTCACCAACTAAATGTTCATTAACTTTCCCAATTAATTCTCCGTATTCATCAAAGATAAGATCGGTTCCAACTAGTCTTGCCCAATTGGTTTGATAGATTTGATTGTCGACAATTGACAGCTGATTCACAACGTATGGATCATCTTCGTTATTACTTAATCCATATGAAGTATTATTACTAAGTTTAATTAATGGATGATCCCCATCTAGATTGGTGAATTGGAATTGTGAGCCTGCACTAATCATATTACGTTGGGACAAAGGAGTGCTTTTATTCTTTGCCGATGACAGTGATGCTGCAGTTGATGCTTGTTTATCATTTAGCCTTGTTGGTTTACCCCTTGAAGTATCATTAGATGCATTTGAATTTTCTGCTCCCAGCTCAAAAATATTATGATTAAGCCATGGAATATCAACTGTCAAAAAAATATCCTATTCTAAAGTTAGTATACAATGATAATCAATGAAATATACATTAGTCTATAAAACAATGATTTTTTTTATAAAAGAACTCTATTAACGTACCTCATATTCAATATTAGAATTACCTTTACTCTCTTCATCAGTACCAGCAGCAGTTTCTGTTACTGGAGTAGGTTCTTTCTCTTTAGCCTTTTTCTCAGCTTCTTTTCTTTCAGCTTCTTCTTTTCTAGCTTTAATATCTTCATCGGAACCAGCTTCGAAAGCAGAATGGAAAGTCCAATTCATTTCTTCACCATCAGTTAAAAACTCACAGTTACCATTCATTCTTAAATCCCATCTATCACCATCTTTAACGTATTTATCAATTGAACAAGCACCAGCCCTAAGATAAGTACCATCATTATCAATTTGTTGGAAAACATCATCGAATCCCAACAAGGACATACCCAAAGCGATCTTAGTAGCTGCATGGCTAACAATCAAAACATTTTCATACTCAGGATATTTTGATTCAAAAACTGGGATAAATTTAGACCAAAACAATTTACATCTATTAAAAATATCTTCTTCGGTTTCACCACTCAAATCAGGCACGACACCAACGGTATCATCACGGTGCCAAACTTCCTTGGTGGTTAATTTAGGGAAGAATTGTCCTAATTGTTCATAATCAGCTGGTGCTGGAATAACTCCACGATTTTTTTTATACCATTCACCACAACCACGTTCAATAGCGATGTCCAAATCCAACATTTCTGCAATTGGATGGGCAGTCTCAACACAACGATAGAACGGCGAGGTCAAAATGTATTGTGGTTTATCTGCAGTTGGAAGTGAAGTGATATAAGCAGCCAATTGTTTAGCTTGATCAACCCCATGTGGTGCTAATGGAGGATCACTGTCTATACCAGTAGGGTTAGGTGGATGTGGAGGAGGAAGCCAATTGGCTCTGTAGCCATGTCTGGCAATATATATTTGCTTAATAGTCATTATCTGGTGGAAGATTAAAGTCAAAGAAGAAGTAAGGATTTTGTTTATATAAATACAAAAAAAAGTTCATCATGAGATTCGACTAATTGAAAAAAAAAAATGGCGTTGAGTGACGGAGTGCGAATATTACGGTTATCAGTTTATAAATTTTTATTACGTTTTTATATAAGGGTTTGATTAGGTTATATGTATGTACATATAGGCAATAGTGAATAGTTGGTAAAGTACAGACAGGTTATAAGGGAGATGAAGGAACTTAAAGTAAGAATTCCAAAGGATTTTCGACAATCTTTTTAACTTCTCTAATGAATTCACCACCTTTAGCACCGTCAATGACTCTATGATCGAAAGTACCGGTGATGGTGATGACATCTTCAAAGACAAAACCTTGTTCGTTAACAGAAGAAGGAACAGCTTTTTTGTCGACGGTACCAATGGCAAAGATGGAAGATTGAGGAGGGTTAATGATTGAAGTGAAAGCATTAACTGCGTTATTCATACCCAAGTTAGAGATACAGATGGTACCACCTTGGTATTCTTCAGGAGATAATTTACCAGCTTTAGCCTTTTTACCTAATTCTTTAATTTCTTTAGAGATTTCAATTAAACCTCTAGCATGAGCATTTTTAACGATTGGGGTGATTAAACCGGTTGGGGTTGCAACAGCAACAGAAACATCAACGGTGTTATATTGTCTAATGATACCTTGATCACCTAACCAATGAGAATTGGCTTCAGGGACTCTTAAAGAGGCTAAAGCTAAAGCTTTAATTAATAAATCATTAACGGATAATTTATATCTATCTTCAGCAGAAGCATTTAAAGCTTGACGTAATTTCAATAATTTAGAAACAGTAATTTGAGATTGAACAATATAAGATGGATTAGAAGTAGTTGATTCTAATAATCTTGAAGCAATAACTTTTCTCATTTTAGTTAATGGAATATCTTCAAAAGCAGCAGCAGTTGGAGCAGTGGCAGCAACTGGGGATTCAGCAGCTTCTGGTTTATAATTTTCAACATCTTTAGCAACAATTCTACCATTTGGACCAGTACCTTTAATTTGTTTTAAAGAGATACCTTTATCTAAAGCAATAGTTTTAGCTAATGGGGATGCAATGATTCTATCAGTAACTGGTTTAGAAGGAGCAGAAGAGGCTGGAGCAGAAGAACCACCAGTTGGAGCAGATGGGGCTGGAGTATCTTTCTTTTCTTCTTCTTTTGGTGCAGCAGCCGGTTCTGGAGCACCACCAGCATCGGCAGCAGTGAAATTTTCAAAAGCTGCAACATCAGCTTGGTCTTCAACGAAAACTGCAATTGGAGTACCAACTGGTAAGTCTTTAGCACCTTCATCAACTAAAATTTTGGCTAAATAACCATCATCTTGAAATTCAAAATCCATTGAAGCTTTATCGGTTTCAATTTCTGCAATTGGTTCACCTACAGATAATTGATCACCAACTTTTTTGGACCAGGCTGCAATACCACCTTCAGTCATGGTTGGAGAAAGTGCTGGCATATTAATCACAGTATGACTTGGAAATTTACCGGATGAATAAAGACGGGCTAATTGTAATGATGAAATGGTTTGAAAACGAGCAACACGAGGAGCATTAGCACGGAGTGCTGTGGCAGAAGCTCTGGTGGCAGCGAACAAAGCAGACATGGTGATTAACTTGAATGATTTGAAAAGAAGAAAACAAGTATCTTTCTAAAAAGTTTTCCAATATTTAGAATTGATATAATCTAATTATCAGTGTACCAATTCGCATCGATGTCCTCCGTTTTTTCCCTGTTTTTTTTGGTTTTCGGTGAAGTAAAAAAGATCCGGGGGGTTGGGTTTTCGGAGATTATCGTCCGAAATCCACTGGTGCACGGATGCATCGAAAGGGGGCATCAAGCAATTTACCGGAACTCTCCCGGAAGCGCCCTCGTAGGTATGCCACCTCATCCCTCGTAATTCGTACACAACATATATACTACCGGAACTGACGACAATTTAAATTTGCAACTTGTATTTATTTATGTGATGAGTTAGAGATAAAGGTTGAAGATGAAGGTTAAAGGTCGACGGAGCCCGACCCGTAGTAGGAGTTCAGAAAGGCTTCGTCTTTGCTGGCAAACAACGCCGACACGTCGTGGTACCCACTGTCTTTTACGCATTGGGCTTCGTAGATGACTGGGACTGCTTTATTACGTTCCAAACTGTCTTTGGCCGTCTGCCACAGAAACCTTATAAGGCCAAAGCACCACCCAAACACCGGGTCGACGTGGCTGTTCAACCACTTACTGGTATTAGGGTCTGAAGGGTAACCGGAGCCCAAGTTGGCTCCATGCAAGAGATTGGCGGTGAACCACTGCAAGTTCAAGTCACGAGTCACTTTTGCAACCACCGAGGCGGCACTGACTATTGGATATATGCTATCAGCTTTTTTGCAGACCGTGATTTCGGCTATTTCTGGGAACCATTTCCTCAATTTGGCTTGGTAGGTGGCAGGAGGACCCACGGTATCAACAAAGAGTTTTGTAATCTTGACGCCCTTATTAAGTGTCTGTCTGATCAACTCCATAGTCACATCATGCGCTTGTTCGTTTAAATTGTATGCTCCTCTGCCCATCACGTCCTGTAACATCCCGCTACTTATATCCTTAGCAGTCATGGTAGTGGTGGCCCACCCAACCTGCTTGAAAAGCTCTTCGTTGGTATTTTCCATTGCTTTGAAAAGCTCTTGTCTTTTCTCGTCCTTTAATGTCTTGGAATCAGCAAAACCGTATTTCTTCAACTCGTTCTGATAACTTGCCAAACAGTACGATATCCCGTAGACCATGGGCCCGAGCACTGGACCTCTTCCTGCCTCGTCCACCCCTAGCACAACCGGCTCATCTGATTCTTGGATTGCCTGCGGTATTTCGCTATGATATGTGGTGGAGTCGAACCTAAGTTTATTGTCGATGGTCTCGATCGATTGGGGGAGCCATATCCCGCTTTCCAACTTGGCCTTCTTAGCCGGTGGTTCACCCATTCTATCTAACTATAATACAGAAAACGTAACCGGTGTATCAGTCCAGTGGATGTCAACGATGAAGAGATAAACGCGTCTTCTGTTGGCTTTTGATTTTGATTTTGATTTTGATTTTGATTTTGATATTGATTTTTTTTTTTTTTGCAGTTTACGCTACAAATGAATTGCAAAAAACTCTACTATACATTAATAAATACATACCACCTAGGCTAAGTTGTTTTTCACCGACTCGTAGACCACGAAGGTAATGCAGGTTGCCGGTAATACCCGGAATATGTTGGCACTAATACCTTTATAGAAACCTCTCCACTGGCCTTCGTTTTTCCAGATGTTTTTACAAACACTCTGGATATTTCTGGGTTCTCCGGTTAAGTTGTAGTTCTGTAATCGGGACTTCACCACCTGGGACGGGTACATTACAGACATACTCAAGATCTTGCTTAGTGCCAGCGAATAGATGTACTGCTGGGTGCTAAGTTTCCGCTCATCACCAGTTTGAAACCAATTTTTCAAATGGTCATAGAAAGTAAATTGTAAACTTCCTTGGAATACCAGAAATAAACTGGGGATGGTACCTTTCCAGAAACTGAGTATTCCTTCCTTAGCATAGATTTGTTTAATCCCGTCCCAGATCGACTTATATGCGTTGGTTTCGGTTCGAGAAGTACCCAAAATCCTCGTTTTCAATACCCAGATGGGATTGGTTAGCAAAGACGTTGATATCCCGGCAAGTGAAGACAGAGCAAAGTAATTGACGGTTGCATTCGACGTCTTAATCATACCCTTGAATTCAGCGTACAACGTGAAATATAATGACCATGCAGAGATATTGCCCACTAGATTCGGGGTGAGTCCTCGGTAATACTGTCTGACAACGTAGGGGAGCCTGAAACGGCCATTGCTCTTCTTGTATTCAACAGCAGCAGACTCATGCACTCTTGCTATAACGTTTCTTAAAGCAAAGAATCTGGTCTTTGAAGTTTCCGACAGTAATTGTAATCGTATTTTGATCACATCTAGCGGATGCGTGAGTATAGTGGTGGAAAACCCAGCACTAAGTCCCGATAATACCTCGATCTGTCTCTTACTTAGACTAGGGGACTTACCAGCTTGGTCATAATTCATTGGCGTATATTGGAGGAAGCTACTTGTTAGTGGCATCGATTTTTTTTTTTTTCACTTCTCGCTTACTTTATCTTTGCTCTTTCAAAACCAAAACCAAGCACAACTTGAATAAACTACAACAAGAACGCTGCCACCACAGTCGGACGATGCTAGAGAGATTATTTCGAGATGGCAGCTGCAAGCTTGAGCAACAACGGCTCGAAAATGCCACCAGTTCCCCGGTATCTTCATTGTCTACAGTATGTCTTTAATGACCTACCCATCAGTGGCCACGGTTCGGTTAATCAGCGTTACTCTGTTCATACAATCAAATATTTTCTTGATAAAGGTGAAATATTGCCTGCTATTAAAGGTCGAATATTCCCACTAGTAATGGTCGAATATTCCCACTAGTAATGGTCGAATATTCCCACTAGTAAAGGTCGAATATTCCCACTAGTAAAGGTCAAATAATTCCTCATAGTAAAGTCAAATAATTCCTTATAGTAAGGTCAAATAATTCCTTATATTAAGGTGAAAACTATGTACATCATAAACAAAAAACATTAAAGATATCATTGCTTAAATAGAAGCTGGGATTGGAGTCAACAAGTTCATCAAATTTGGTTTTTCTGGAGCAGATTTCCAACCAACGTATAAAACAAATGGAATGAATCCGTAGTGAGCAATGACCTTGGAGTATTCCAAAACCTTGGTGATTCTTTCTTTGGATTCGTCAGACAAAGTGAATGTTAATCTGGATGGAGCCATGGCGGTTGTATAAGTTTGAATGATTATGTTAAAATGAATAAGTTAATGGAAAAGGACCAAATCTTCAACTTTTCAATTTTCAAAACGAAAATTTTTTGCTGGAGAGCATTTTCGTCCGATTACATAAGCGCACCCGATTATCACTAATAATCAGGAATTAGCATGCTTAGACCGTCGGTGCATACCCAGTGATAGGCCAATTATCGCGGGAGTTAGTCCGCTGGATACGTAGAGTCTTTTGGCACTGGCTTGGTTATGGCTTTACCGGTATTTGGGAGCGTAAAGATAGGGTCTTGTGATTAGAGGGAGGAATTAAAATAAAAGACCCATGCACCAGATACTTTTATATTCAGTTCCAGGAATACTGAAATTTTTTAAAAAGACAACATATCGATTTTGGTCTGATACCGCATATATCGAGAGCCTAGTCGATTCTAAGTTAATATTGGTACGGGAGCCATGAGAGTACTCTATAAGGAATATCCTCGTACAATTGCCATACAATCGGGATCGATTAGTCTATGTTTTCGACAAGTCAAGCTAAAGTCTAAATCCAATAATAAGAAAGCTGGTTCAGCAGTTGCAGTTGAAATAATTCCAAATGATCAGATCTCACAAGAAAATGGTTATAGAACATTGGTTAATAGAGAGGTTTCTGGTTGTTTGGGTTTGATCAATGTTGATCAGCAGATATTTCTTGCGGTCATAACTGGAGCCATTTCTAATATAGCAAGTCCTGTTAATTACGAAACCGTTGATAAGATTTACTCGGTTGATTTTGTTTCTTTAACCACCAATGAATGGGATTTTGCCAATTTGGATGCTAATGGGTATCCCATGGACACCGTAGAAGCGTCAACGGATGATTACGAGTATAGACAAGCTCATCCATGTCATGAATTAAAGAAACTCTTATCAAACGGTTCATTCTATTACTCGAATGATTTTGATTTGACTTCTTTATTACAAAACAGAGGGTTAGATAATTCTAAATTAAACGGTTCAGCATCGCCAAATTCAGCATCGAAAAAAGCGATCAACTTAGATCATTACCAACAAGAATATATGTGGAATTCTTTTATGATGGATGAACTTATTAAATTGAGATCTAATTTAGACGAGTTTTCGCAATCTTTGCTTAATGAAAGTGGGATCCTAACTACGGTTATTCGAGGTTTTGCGAAGACTGTCACTTTTGCATCATCCGGCGCTGCCATTACCATCATTTCTAAACAATCTTGGAAAAGAGCAGGTACGAGGTTCAATGCTCGTGGTATTGACGACAATGGGAACGTTGCTAACTATGTTGAAACCGAGTTCATCTATGATAATCCTTCGCAAAAGCTGATCTTTTCCTTCACTCAAATCAGAGGTTCAGTGCCAACTTTTTGGGAACAGGAAAGTACTCTTGTGAATCCAAAAATCTCTTTAACCAGATCTTTGGAAGCCACTCAACCTATTTTCAATAAGCATTTTGATGAAGTTTGCTCAAAGTATGGGGTCTGTCATATTGTTAATTTACTTTCCCGTACTAAACCGGCAGAGGTTCAAGTCCTGCGTCGTTATAAAGATTTATACCAACATTCAACTCATTTCGATGATATTGCATTTAGTGACTTTGACTTCCATCACGAAACTAAAGCCGCCGCCGGTGGGTTTTCTGGTGCTACGAAAATCCTTCCCTTACTATATGATTCTCTCGAAAGATTTGGCTGGTTTACCTATGATACCGAGCAAGCTGAAGTGATAACAAGACAAGATGGGGTATTTCGCGTTAACTGCTTGGATTGTTTAGATCGTACCAATTTAATTCAACAAGTCATTTGCCAATCGGTCGTGGAACATATAGTGAAAAATTACCTACAAGCAAATGGTGGCCCTGATGCAAGCTCTTATCGTGAGAGATTGGTCTTTGATGAAATTGCACATAAGCACAATGCTTTATGGGCTGATAATGGTGATGCTATCTCCCAAATCTATACAGGAACCAATGCCCTTAAATCATCATTTTCAAGATCTGGTAAAATGAATTTTGCTGGGGCATTATCCGATGTTACTAAATCAGTCTCGAGAATGTACCAAAATACTTTTATGGATTCGAAGAAACAATCAACTATGGATCTCATGTTAGGTTATGACGCTCAGTTTTCGACCCCTGTTAAAATTTATGATCCTATCAATGAATATGTTCATGATAAACTTAAACAGAGCTCTTCAACATTTACCACTCATGACAATATTAATATCTTTGTTGGTACTTTCAATGTCAACGCAGCAAGTCCTCTTAATAAAAATATGGAACTTACCAATTGGCTATTCCCACCAGAAAACTTGGATCATGGGTTACCAGATATTTTCGCTATTGGATTACAAGAATTAATCGAATTAAATGCCGGTTCAATTTTAAGCGCAGATAATTCTAAAGGTTCTCAATGGGCTGGCATATTAGAATCTCAATTAAATTCTCAGAACGAACCATATCTTCTTTTAAGAACAGAAGCAATTGCATCCATGTCATTATTTCTTTTTGTGAAAAAATCTCAAGTACATCATGTAACTCAAGTTGCTGGGTCTTCTAAGAAAACCGGTATGGGTGGTATAACAGCAAATAAAGGGGCTTGTGCTGTCAGATTTGAATTTGGTAACACTTCTTTTGCACTTGTAACTTCTCATTTGGCAGCAGGTGTAAATGCCATCGTTGAAAGATATAATGATTATCGTACAATTATTGATGGGCTCACCTTTACTAGGAACTATACTATCAAAGACCACGATAATATCATTTGGTTTGGTGATTTAAATTACCGTATCAACTTACAAAATGATCAATGCAGATACTTGATTGAAAATGGTGCGTTTGATGAGTTGTTTAGAATGGACCAACTTTTAATCGAGCTTCAAGAACCAAAAGATGGTGCATTTTTTGGTTTCAATGAAGGTAAAATCAAATTTTATCCAACTTATAAATATGATAAAGGTACTTCCAATTACGATACATCCGAAAAGCAAAGAGTTCCTTCTTGGACCGATCGTATTTTATATTTGCCCAATCAGGAAGATAGGAAAGACGCTTTGGTTCAGCTTAATTATAACTCAGTCATGGATATTTATGTGAGTGATCATAAACCAGTATACTCTACTTTTAATAGTCAAGTGAAATTCGTCGACGAGGAAAAGAAGCTCAAGTTAGCCAAAGAGTTATATAGATCTTATAAGAAGGAACATTCTACAGAAGGCGACGTTGTTTCCTTGATTGAGTTTGAGTCTGCTAGTTCAGCACCATCAAAGAAAACTTCTAATTCAAGCTTCTCTGCCGATACTTTATCTGAGATGAACTTGCTTGATGATCAGACTCCAGCCCCCAGACTACCTTCTCGACCAGCCACCTCTAACTTCAATCACCCAAGAAGAATCCCCCCACCACCATTAAGTCGCAAAGCAGTTACCGCTGTGTCGAATAATGGCAGCATGCCCGCTGCGACACCACGTAAATTACCACCACAACCTTCTTTCAGCTCAAACACTCCACCAGTTCCTCCACCAGCAAGAAAGGTCTCTGCTAGTTCACCAAAACCATTATCTCCAGATTCAACGTCATCTTCTTCAACTTCTGCAACATCAGCATCGGTCTCGCAACCGAAAGCCCCGCCATACAAACCAATGAAAGCACCAATTGGCTTTTCGTCCACCCCTCTTATTCCAAGTGCATCTAATTCCCCATCTTCCACCCCCAACGCTTCGTCATCATCTTTGCCCATACAAAACAACAATGGTCCCAAAAAGCCCTTGGTGCCAACGAAGCCTTCGGCATTGTCAGGGAAGAAAACGGGTGAACCTAGTGATTTAAGTCTGAACGACTCTGATAAAAATCGTCCTCCTCCACCACCTCCGAGATCTAGCACGAATACTCCCGTTCACGCAGCCAAAACTATGTCGGACTGGAAGCCGTTGGTTCCACAGTAGGATTCTTATTTATTTTTAACGATCCATGTAGAAGTATATACATATACATAAGACTATTTATCAATCAATCTTTTGGTGTAGAAAAATAATGTGCAGGATTATGGAGTGAAAAAAATCAAGCAGTTGAAGAGAAAAACACTCTATCTTGAAATAGGTACTTGTTTTCATAGCTAAATATTCAGGATGAGCAGTGCCAAAAGGATTAAGAATGTATCCATATCAGTTCCGGTGCTTTATGGTAATACTGCTGTGAGGCTCACTCCAGAAATGAGAACTGAAAGAACACCAGTTGATCATACTCATGAATGGACCATTTTCTTTAAACCGGTTCTTGATAACATTGACTTGACGCCCTTGTTAAAGAGGGTCACTTTCAAGTTACACGAGACTTATGAGAACCCAGTAAGATCGATTGAAAAGCCTCCTTATAAAGTGACAGAAACTGGATGGGGGGAGTTTGAGATTATTATCAAGTTACATTTTCACTCGGGGTCTGAATTAGGAATCAACGAAAAGAATTTCCAGATCTTTCATGCCTTAAAATTACATCCTTTCAATCCCCAGCATCCAATCAAAGAAAACGGAGAAGTTCATTCTGTTTTATACGATGAACTAGTTTTCCAAGAACCTACTGAACGAGTGTTTGAATATTTAACTCAAAAGCCTCTGAATTTACTACCTTACAAACTCAGTGATCCTCTGAAGCGAGATCAAGAATATATAAAGACAGATGAACTAGACGAAATAGCTAGATTAGACGTGTACATTAATAAAGTCAAAGAGGAGGTAGAAAATCAACGCAACCAATATAAAGATTTAGAACAAGAGAAGTTGGCTCTTTTACAATAAATTAATGACCAGAAAAAAAAAAAAAGATTATGTATATTAGTGTTTTATTTTAATAAGAATTTCGTTCAATGATTGACAGATTGTAGTTAGAATATTTTAATGGCTCCCTTGGGGCCAGAACTCACAGATGCAAAATACGTAAGGTACTCTTCAATTAGACCTTCAAGTTGTTCAAGATTGGCTCCGAACTTATCATGCAGAAGACAGTAGCGTCCTATTTTGATAGGTAGTTTGCAACGAATGACATTGTCCTCATCGATTATAACCAAATAGTTTAACGGGTAATTAGCACCTCCCAATGGATCTTTGACTTGAAAGTAGGTGGCCAATTGACGGCATTCTTCTGAATCAGACATGTTTAGGGTTGGGTCCTGCCTAACCTCTAAATTGGATGATATAAATAGAATTGAGTCGAATTGGTCTGGGAATAATCGTAGAATATCGTCAATATATTCTTTACCTTGAGCACCCAAGAAGAATAGAAATTTTATTCTTCCAGGATTTCTCAAACTCAAGCGACCTATACTGAGTTCATCCTCGATTATCATCGATTCATTGCGATCTAGTATTGCGTATATTGTTTCACATATGGAAAGATCAATCTTGGATTGATGTGGCTCCATAGTAGTTGGGACGCGTATTGTAAAACGATGTAGCTTTTTAGTACTAGAGTGCAGCAGTTGATAGGTCTTGGGATAGCAGAAAGAGCTAGCATCACCATGAGTGTCTTCCATCAGCCAAGCAGCCCTCTTCATTGTTGAATAAAAGAGAGTAAAATGGTTGTGAATTTTAAATTTTTCACGTACCATTTTTTTTTTATTCGCATCTCTTACTTATATACTTTATAAAACTACAAACTTCTTCCTACCTGGTAGCCTGAAGAATACAAAAGTTTACGTGACTTCCATTGGTATTTCCCTCTATTGAAAACAGTTCCAAGTTGCAAAAACTCATGACTAAAAGCCTACTCTCATTGGCTCAAATTGGGGTAGCAAATGCAATGAAGGGTTTCTCCACTTGAGTCTTTTTTTTGTCTCATCATTATACAAGATTTCTTACAAATACATCGAAAGGGCTAGGTTGACAATTAGTAAGTCTATAATAAGTGCAATAATTATGTAAGTGAGAAGTAAAATACAATGGTAATCTAAAAAGTCTGGAAGTGGATCACTTCTTTGCAATGACAATTCTTTGAATATGGTCCATATACAGTTGTAAGCTGATATCGTCTGTGAGGACATCAAGTTGAGTATTTATGGATGAACCATACATATGGTTTGGATTAGTAGCATAGCTTGTGGAAGGGTTAAGTTTAGCCATTAAGAATCTGGCTTGAGAACCACCTTCATCACAATCAATGAATCTAGGCAATGGGAATCGGTCCATTAAGATTTCCATTGCTTCTCTTTTAGGTGCTTCCAAAAATGCTTTGAAATATTCATATCCTTCGAGGTTATGATAATTTGCTTTTCTCCATTCAGTAACTTTTGAACCATGATAGATTAAAATTTGGAAAAATGTATCTAGTAACAAAATTTTTTGAGAACCAAGCGACATAGAGTCTAATAACACTGGTTCTGGATCGTTATTGACTTCACCAGTTGTTTCATCGACAGAACCATAAGTATCCACATCGTACGATAATAAGCTTGGTTGGATCATAATAAGCGAATTGGTAACATCTTCATGCATAAAAACATGGCGGACATAACTGGTTTCATCAGGAGAGTTATTGAAAACTTGTATGAATTGAGATCTTCTCAAGTGATACATGAATTGTGGTAACATGGCGTAGGTAGAAGATAATTTGAATGACTCAAGTCTACCTTTAGTATAAATGGCAAATCTAGTACAGAAATCAACAAGAACTTTATCCAATTGTTTTAAAATTGCAGCTGATTCCACAACTGTTTTAGCATTTGTATCTGGATTATTCGATAATTGTAACTTATTAATTGCATCACGAGCCAAAATTACCAATGCTGTTTCTTGATCAAATCCACTTTCTAAGTTAACCAAGTCTGAATCCGCAATAACTGACAAGGGAATCGTTGTAACTTTTAATCTCAATTCACCAGAAGGATGTTGATAATGGAAAATGTATTGTATGAAAGTAGCTCCAAACCCACTAGAGTCTAATTTATCGAAATAAATCGCATAAGTAGACTGCGGGTTAACATTGAATAGTTTCCAAGAATTAGTATTACTCTCTCCAATAGGTTGACTAGAAACTGATTGTTCAATATATCGATTACTTTTGTTATAAGGTAGAGACGTAGCATTACCAATTAAACCTTGAATCTGTAAGTCTTTAGAAATTCTTACTTCTAAAGTTGCATTAAAACCCATATCCAAGTACTCTCCTTCTTCTGGTTGATTTTCATCATTATCATCCAGTATTGGTTGTTGTTTTTGGAAAAACTTAATGAAACTTTGTTTGAAAATTGAAGTGTTGAAAGAATCACTCATAATAACAACACCACCAGTTTTATAGCAAACTTCATCCATTTCATACAAGCCTACTTGATCATAACTTCCAATGAAGAAATTACAACTTAAACCCAACTTTACAAGGTTGGAGGTGATTTTCTTATAAAACTTTTTAGCGTTTGTCACCAAGGAAAAATCAACCTTAGTGTTATGTCTTGAAGTAATAGGATTAGGAACAGAAGGTAATTGTAACTTATTTGAGCGATCAATATCATGGTGAGATCTCATTGGTTCTTTCAAGTATTCTCCAACTATTTTACCAGGTCCATAAGTACATGCACCAGCAACGAAGGTAAGAATATGGCCACCGGTGGTACCATGGTTTCCTAATATGGAAGTTAAAAGTAAAGATGCAATATTTAAAGCTGATCCAGTAGCACGTAAAGGTCTTTGCTTCATTGTATGATGAGGAAAGGTATTAGTGACTAAACTTTCAATTATGGAAGAGATTTGGTATTCAGCCATATTGATCGACAGTAAAAACATATCGGCAATAGGACCGAAGAGCTGAGACTCGGATTGATGCTTCAAGTTCGACAGTAAGATACCCAATGATTTTTGCAATTGTTCAAGGTTATAATCTTTATTCCCATTGAAAGTATGAATTTTGGGTCCGTTCATAGGATTGATTTCATGAATCTGGACATGTTTACCGTAAGAAATAAACCCTACCAAAGCATTTTCGGGTAATTGAGACAATGAAAGAAGTATAGACTCTTTTAAAGACTGATATGCATCTTCAACATCTTCAACTTCAAAACAAGTATCAACCACATAAAAAAATATAGGAGGAAATTTGCTCAACCTTCCAGTCACATATTCGATGGTGCTGGAATCAGGATTAATAGATAATGGGAAGTTCCCATTAGCATCTTGCTCCAAAACATTACCAAATTCACAAAACTGACAATACCAAACGCCAGAATTGGCCACAACATAAGGATTCAAAAACGAAAAACATTGTCTGCATCTTAGTATCTGGGATTTGTCTGCCAATGGACAAGGCTGAGGACTCTTGTTATTAAGAGGCGTATACATCGAAGCCAATGGAATTACATTACGTTGATGTTGAAGTTTGGATTTTGGTAACGTATTCCAGGATAATCGGACCCCATCGACGTCTTCTCTTGCTTCGAAATCCATGCCTCGTTTCTTATCACGTTGATACAAGTATAAAGGTGGTTTTCCCTTCTCTTTGATGGAAAAGGGCTGTAATCTAGTGATCTAGTGACGTCCAACGAAAAAACTAGTGAAGAACCGAGCGAAAAGGAAGAATGAAAAAAAAGACAGGAGAAAACAAAAAAAAAAAAACAAAACGGGCGGAAAAAAGGTACGGCGAGATTCGGAGTTGAACCTTTTGGCTGTTAAAACTGTTCATATATACAAGAAAGGGCTATACAAAGTACACGATTAGTTTCTGAAAACATCTTTCAACCCCCCAAATGGTAAGACGCTTTCAATACGGTCACTGCCGACAAACAACATGCATAGTCTGTCGATTCCACAACCCCAACCCCCAGTAGGAGGTAATCCGTATTCCAAGGAATTCACGTAGTTCCAATCAGGAATTAGGGATTCGTTATCATTGTAGTCTGCTTTTTGGACTTGCTGCAATTTGAACTTCTTTGCTTGTTCGAAAGGATTATTTTCTTCTTCATATGCGTTTATGTATTCTTTACCATTGATAAAGCACTCGAACCTCAAGGAGATCTCGTACGAACGGGAAGAGTACGAGATATGGGTTGATTTGGCTAATGGGGATAGTTCTGCTGGTTGGTTGTAAAGGAAGACCGGGGTATTTGGGTGTTTTGAGGAGATGATTGGTTCGAGGTAGATTGAAGCAAGGTTATCGAGTAAAGAAGCAGAAGAAAGATTGGAAGGAAGAGACTGGTTTAATGCACGATGGTAGTCGACCAAGCTTTCCGAGTCTAAAGTAGAAGGGAGGGTTTTGCCAGTTATGCTTTCTAAAGTTGGGATGAACTCATATTTCGGGAAGTTCCCCTTGGATAAGTTGACGAGATCTGGTAAATTTCTCTCGAGTAATGGTACATTAAGAGTAGACAAATCAAGGTATAGACGTTGGAATAAGTTCTCGGTGATTTCGATTAGTTCTGGTAACGAAGTGTACGCTTGATAGAACTCACAGGTGGTGAATTCAGGGTTATGGGTTGAGTCGATACCTTCATTTCTGAAACTGACCCCGATTTCAAAAATCTTTTCAAATCCACCAATGACCATTTTTTTCAACCAAAGTTCCGGGGCCACTCTTAGTTGAAGTGGCTGGTTTTGGAAAAAACTGTTTTTCAGATGAGTGGTGAATGGTTGGGCGTTGGCCCCAGTCCCGGCTCCAGTTAGGATTGGAGTTTGGACCTCTAAATATTGTTTATTCAAGAAAAATGTCCTAATGGATTGAATTATATGGGATCTTATTTTCATAGTGTCAATAGAGTCCTGATTTACCAAGTAGTTGAGGACCCGGTTGGTATTGATTTTAGATTTCTGGGTCAATTCTTCTGGAATCATGGTTGAGTTAAGACATGGGGTTAAGATTCTAATTGGTTGACTAAGTTTTAGTGATAACTCCCCGACATTAGTTGTCGAAGGGTAACCAATCCCACTTATTATATCACCTTTTCGAAAAAATGAGTGCAATTGATGGAACTCATCTTTGCTTAAGTTCATTAATTTATTATTTGCCAATATTTGTAATTTTGAATCTCCTTGTATAACATCAATAAAATACATTCCTTTCCCACTGGCCCTGATTGATCTTATCTTCCCTTCTACCTGGTATAGTTCGGGGAATCTTTTGTTGTCATATTGATTGAAATCGTGATGGCTCCATTGATTTACGAATTCCGGGATCTTGAGCATTCGTGTGCCTCTGGTGGATTGAATCGGTGGATAGTAACTCTGGGTGTCCTCCGCTATGAGTTTCTTTCGAGCAGCATGCCCAAGTCTATCTGATTCTATCTTTGATATCGAATAGCAACGAGTGAACCGTCTTAAAGGTAGTCTATACATTACTTTCCCCCGTCGACTTAGTAGTTATTATACAACGAGTATTGAAAATTTTCGTCCCAATCGAAATCCCACGACCCGTACCTCTCGGACCTGGGCCTAATCTCCGTTAATAGCCATCTTCTATTTTTTTATTACATCATAATACCGATATGGGTGCAACAAAGATTAAACTTCTGCAGGGAACCATTTAATTGGACCAGGTGAGCGAGCTTGAATCTATATCGTGATGGTGTTTAACCATAATCTTTTTATGGGCGGCGGCACCTAGTAAAAGATACCAAGAACAACAATTTGCCTATATGGCCAGGATGAGGTGAGCATGCAAGGTGGAAGACTCTAGTGGCTACTGAATCTTGGGTTTTATAGAAGAAGTATTCGTTATGAAGGTTTGTTAAGAGTCAGCCAACAAGTCAGAATCCCTCTGACGTAAACCACTTTGAATATACCATCAAAGTGGTATATTATGGTTTGTTTATTGCCCCATTTCAATAGGCACCAGTGGCTGGAGATGTACAAATACGAAACGGAAACCGGGTACGGCAATACATGGCTTTTTCGACAGAGACTGGGTGTTGTTAATGATTGACTGGAAGATGCCACCAGTGTTGCTCAAACCCCATTTTTGTAGGTCCAACTACATCACTTAAGCTCTTCTTTAGGTGGTATTTTGACCATTGGTAGGTATGTACAAGTGAAGTGATTGAGTTTGCACTTGATACTTTTACACATCAATGAATATAAAATATCAGCTCATTTATGTTAGCGTTTAAGCCATTGAAAAAGTCAAGTGAACATCCTTATTCAACTTCCCATGATATTACTTACGATTTCATCATTTTTTCACCACTCAGTTAACTACTGGAGAATGTGTATATTTGATAAACAATCAATATACGATCCTGGGAATGGTGCACAAGACTCTACGCTGTAGCTAAAAGAGGAGTACCTCAAAACAGCAGATATTAAGAGCGTCTGGCCTAACCAAAGTACAATTTTCGGGCAATCGATATATCTTACGTGAAGAAGAAGTTGCAAAAAAGATTCCCGACCATTTACCAACATTTCCGGTTGAGTTTGCGTAGCTATTTTCTTACATCATACCGACGCATATATATGATGTTATTCAAGAATGACATGTACTTTGAGTTTATGGCGCCATCGGGGGTGTTTATGGCGCCATCGGGGGTGTTTATGGTCATACACCTTGTAGCTTCGGGTATGATTTCGTTCAAGAGCTTGGGTGCTCGTGCTTAGTTTCTTGAATTGTATGGCGAGCTTGTCTTTAGTAATTGATCCAGATACTGGCTCAACTACTTACAGTATCATCGTCCACCCAATATCATAGACGAAAATACAAAGTTCACCCTCTTCACTTAATTCATTGTACTTTAATACGGCTGCAAAATGACCAATACAATTCCCTATACGCCTAGTACACGCACCCGTACACCAAAAGGATGCAAAATTAACGAGACCACAAAAAAGGATGGAGCGCGTTTTCTGTTGATGTTTTCAGTTTCTTCAAGATTCGGTTAGTTTGTAATAGAATTACGAATAATGTCAGATCAATACAATGGCATTAGACGGAGAGAAAGGGGGTGCGCCATTCGTCGTCTAGCCAGTTGTTTAGGTTAACTGATTCAGGCACATAAAGTATGTTCATGTAACTACAAGTCAAATCAAAAAAAAAAAAAGTCAAAAAAAAAATAGCCGCCGAAAACAGTAAAAAGCGACAGCGTCAAAAAAAAAAAATACACGTCTCAACCACCTTCTCTTCAACTTAACTACTACTTTCTCTTCTATTAATAGACAATAGATCTTTATACCAGTCAATAGACCTACCTCCATCACTGCTGCCGGCCGAACAATCAGTCAAACAATCGTTCAGACTTCCAAACATACCTTTAGCTCTGTAGTACATGTGCGTGAGTCTATGCTGATTTAACCGCCGCCTACTAACACTCGAGTTTTAGATATCCATCGCTGGTCTATCGCGTGGAACATCCTATTATTTGCTCCAACTCACAATCTCCGCTTCTTAAAAGGTTGACATTCTCAAACATTGCCCTTTGTAACTGGAGCTGGTAAGTTGTTTACGTGTTTTGTCGTGTTTGACTTTGGCTTTTGCTAGTTCGCTCTCCTTAGTCTTTTCTCAGAGTTTTTTTTTGCTACTCTTAGTTGTTTTGTGTTTGGGTCTTTTTTTTTTTCAATTGATTTGAAAAATTGTTAGTTTTTGCTGATTTGGGTATTGTACTCTTGTTTTGTCGCTATTTTTTTGGTTGGTTTCACTGTTTTTCCCGGTGGGTACATTCATACTCACTGTGTTTTTACGTGCTTTTGGTTGTGCTGCTTTTTTGTTGTACTTTTTTTGTTAGTGCGTTTGATTGTTGTAGAACGAACAAACAAAACAACAATATTTGGTGCTCTCAGAATTTTGCCTAATCGTTCATTGATTTGTTGATCTTCTGCAGTCGTTTTCCGGTAGTGTGTTTTTTGGTTCTTGATTCTCTCTCTTTTTTTTTTTTTTTTTTTTTTTTCTTTCCTCCTTCCTCCCGTTTTCCTCTTTTTTCATCTTTCTCGTTCTACTTCAGCTTCACCTACTTCAGCTCCTTTACTCAACTTCCCAAAGACAACCAATTCAACATGAGGAAGATTTGGTCCCTGAGAAAAGATAAGGACAAGAGGAAGTCCATGTCAGGAGCTTCAATCTCTTACCAAACTTCTAGTCCAAGTCCTCTCAGTCATTCAAGCCATAACCATCCTGCTAATCATAAACCTTCAATCACTTCGATTGATTCTGCTCCAGAATTTGATCCAAATGGCTCAATTATATCTTATGACACCTCTGATTATCCAAATAACACCTATGATGATTATCCAACTCTAGCCAATTCAACTATTAGTAGTATTCCCGAAGCAACTACTCTAAATAGTCATAATAATTTGAATTTTAATAATTATCATCTAAATTCTAATCATAATCATTCCTTATCAAGTACTTCTCAATTAAACAAATCATACTTATCTACCTCCCCAACTTCAACTACTCATGATTTAAATTATAATAATTCAATTAGTAAAAAAACAGTTAGTTCTTTAATTAAACCTGATTATGATACTAAATTAATTAAACATAATTGGTTAAATGTCATTGTTAATTCTCATTCAGTTAATGAAATAAGTGAACAAACTTTAAAAGTTTGCCGTGCAGAATTAAAGGGTTCTCACTTATATTTATATAAACCTTCTCCAACTTTGAATATAAAATCTTTCAGAATCGATGGTCATCAACAACAGCAACAACAACAATCAATTCTCAATGATGAACCAGTCAATCAACAAGTCACTGCTCCTCCTCAAGTAGCGTCTTCTCCTTCAATTAATGCCCCAGCTACTCCTGCAAATAATCAACAACTGTCCTTCTCCTCAGATTTATTCAAAAATTCAAATGGTTCCAATTTAACTCTTCAAGAATTAACTGCTCCTTCCACTCCTCAAATAAATCATCCAGCAATTCATACTCCTCCTCCTCCTGTTTCAATCAATGATGACATAATAATAACTTATTTTCAAACTACTATACCCCACCCAGATTTAAAATTTGAAGAAACTCCAGACTCTTTTAAATTATTACTGTCCCTGATCCTGTTACAAACGACCGTTCCAAGTCGTTCAAACTCAACTACTAGTAATTCAATGAGTACACCGACTCCCCCCACCACGGGCGGTTCGTCTCTTGAATCTATAATACATTTTTTTCTTTTCGCACCTGGTGATCCATCAAAATATACTTCTTCAATTAATCAATTAATTCAAACTTTACCATTATTTCCAAATTTCGGTAAGATCTTGAAACTTATTCATTTATTCCTTTTTTATCTTTTAGACATTGATGCACCAACTTCAAAATTTATCAATCAATCTTTCGATATCTCTTTATTAACAAATAGATTAATTCAATTATTTAAAAATATTGATTCAAATTTTAGTGGATTCTTATTGAAATCCGATATAGCTCCTTATATTTTGAAGATTTTGGAAACTTTAACCGATCATTGTTCTACAAAAGATGATTTGGCTACCTTGATTCAAACTTTCAAATCAACAATGTTATTAAAACAACAACTGTTGATTAATTTGGTTAATCATGATTCATTATCCGGTTCTGATAATCCTTTACAAGATTTGAATTCAACTATTTTTATGAATGATATTAATTTATTTGATATGGCAACTGCTATTTCAACAATTGATTTGAATTTTTTCGAAAAATGGAATTCAAATTTTGATAAATCCTTATTATTAACTAGCTCCTTGAATAATTCATCAAATGGAGTTGGTGGAGATTTTTTCTATAAAAAAAATCCTCTCATCTTTAATAATGATAACCATATTCATTATTTATCAAAATTATTAATTAATCATTTGTTTATTGAAAATGTTAATGCTAATGGGTCTTCACATTCTTTAGAGAAAAAGGCTAGATTATTAGAAAAATGGATTGATTTGGGTTGTTTATTAGATAAATCTGGTAATATGTCTTCTTGGTTAGGTATTTCTTCAATTATTTTATCTCAACCAGTACTTCGTTTAACTAAAATTTGGGCTCTTGTCTCTCCTGACTATATTAAATTATTGAAAAATGATTGGTCTCCAGTTTTATTTGAATTAGATAGAAGACATTTGGCTAATGGTGGTACAAGCATAGTTGATGAGGGTATTTCCAGGAATAAAAAACATGATGGCTCTTCACCTTCTGATTCTCCAATTGAAAAACTGGAAGATTTCATCTCAAAAGATTCGTATCATATCATGGCTCCTCGTGGTTTAGGTAAAATTTATCCAAAAGAGAAAGTCATACCGTTCTTTGGTGATTTGGTGATTAATAATTCTTCCTCAACTAATATTAACGATTTAGAATCTATTTGGAAAAGAGTTAATTACCTGTTTAGTAGATGGAATGAATATTTGTCAAATTTGAAAAATTTTGGTAAAATCATTAAATATAATGAAGATGTTTTGAAACGTTATGATAACATGGGATTTATTTTTTCAAATGAAAGCTTGAATCAAGTTTTATACTTGGGAGCTAATTCAAATTCATCCAATTTGGAAGATATTCCTCCTAATGCATTTGAAGATATGGATAATTCAAATAATTCACCAAAGAAAAATTCTAAAGTTAATCAAAATTTACAATCTAAATTGCTTCGTCTTATAGAAATTAATTGTGAATCAACCAGTTTAGAAAAGATAATGAAATTATCATTAACTTTAGAACCTGAATTACCTGAGGCATATCTTAAAGTTCCACCAATTTCAAACACTTCTTTACGTCACCCTTCGAATGCAAGTTATACTATTCCTGAAGTTAAAACTCCACTGCCTTCAACTTTAACCTTCAAATTGAATAATTCAAGCTCCTCCAATTTATCGATTCACTCAAATGATTCTTCAAATTCAATCAATACCACCGCAACAGACGCTACTAATTCAACTAATTACCAATCTTCAAATTCTAACTCTAATTCAAATAACTACTCCCATTCGAGATCTCATACTCATTCCTTCTCAACTGGTTCGGTGGGACTTCCAAGTACTAGTTCAAGTAAAAGTATTGATGAAAATAATCCAGCTTCAAAAATTCCAATTTTTAATAATCATTATTTCAAACTTAATTTATCAAAATATGATGATTTGACAGTTTTGGCTAATGGTTCAACTAACGTCTCAAACTCAATTACTCATGATCCAAGACTTCAATTCCACCACACAGATGGACCAATTGATAAACATAATGTTGTTATCGATGACGACTTGACTTTTAGAATTGATGATTTTGTTAGTGATTTAGATAATTCTTTGGTTACTGCAGGTACTTCAAATACTTATGACGATGTTGGTGATAATGAAGATGCTGATGGTGATGTTCCGGGATTAGGTATTGATGTTGATGATATTTTAAATTCTGATAAATTTAATAATTTTAGTATAAGTGCTACAAATTCACCAAATCCTAATGAAAATAAGCAACTGGGTAATGCTAATAACAATGGTAACACTTCTAATGAAGAGAAGGCCAAAAATCATGCAAGCTTTGGAGCAATTTCATCAGACTCTTCTCACCTCCGTAATTCTCATGGGCAAAGTTTCAAGTATATTCCGAAGTATGCTTCTATCGACAAATTGATTGATTTATTATTGATTGATTCAAAATATTTCGATGAATTAATCTCATTAGATTTGACTGAATATAGATTTGTTTTCCTATTGAATTATAACTCATTCATTAGTACCAGAGTGTTGTTAGATAAATTGGCTCATCGTTTCATTAATTCAGGTAATGCTGTTATCTCAGTTATGAAAAAACTTTACATGATGAGAAGTGGTAGCTTTGATAATAATTTTGGCGAATTTCCAAATTGGAATATTGATACTTCCATTGATTTGAATGAGTTGGGTGACGTTGATTATGAATTATTATTAAAGATTCAAATTAATATCTTGAAAATATTAATTGTTTTGATTAATAATTTTTATTCGAACTTCGCAACTGATTTAACCAACAAGAAAATCTTGATCAAGTTATTGAAGTTATACAGTAATGAAATATTGCAATGGTATAATTCCAACAAAATTGATGCAAGTTTGGAGAAGTCTTTTGAAAGTTTAGTTAATTATTACAAGAAATTGAAAAAGTTATTTGTTAAAAAGACTTATAGACCGGTGGAGATTCTGAAATTTGACGAATACTTAATTAATGAATTCAAATTCAATAATTCATTACACGAAGTTCCAATGAATAGAAATTTACCGGGCCATAAGAATATAAATAAAATTGAAAAATTTTTACATAAGTTTAACAAACTTTTAACTGTTTTTTATAAGGGCATCAAAGCTGAAGATTGGATAAAAATTTACAAGACAATTGAAAATCAGTATGAAAACCACTCATTATTGGATTTCAATTTACAAAGAAATTCAAGTAATGATGATAATTTGATGATCTCTAATGTTTTTACGTTCTTTGAGTCCTTAACGGATCCATTAGAAAAACGCTTGCTCTTAAAGAAATTCCCACTTGTATTCCGAAAATTATTCAAGTTGTATTATAAATTTAGAAGTTACTTGTTGATCCAATTGTCTGACTTGAACATAACCGTTGAGGAACGTTTAGATCGTATGAAGACCTTATTGATTATGACAAAGATCTCAAAGTTGAAGATGAGCGATAATCAATTTGTTTTTGAAGGTGACAGAGATAACATACCATCCTGTATCGAAAGTGCTATTACAAATGTCATTTATTCTCCTGAATCAAGATCTTTCACCAATTTATGGATTAAAGCTTCTAATGCATTAATAAATTATCCTGATCTTAACAGCAATGTTGGCAATGGCTCTAATCAAAACAGCTTCAATGACCTCAATAGTTTGCTTCCTCCAAATATAAAATATTCTGACTTGATTATGAATCATGAACCTTTATTACCATGTTTCGGTTGGATTATAGAAAATTTAATTGAGACTAATAAATGCCCAAGCTTCCACCACACAGTAATAAACTTTAATAAGAGGTATTTGATTTATAAGCTCATCAAAGAATTAAGTGTTGAAGATATCGATTCTGGAGATGAAGTCAGTTATCATGATACCAGGGAGTTTGAGTTTTTATTGAAACTTGATGAATCATTAGCAACAAATCAACATTTAAGAGACTTTTCCAATTTAGAGAAAGACAAAGTTAAGCTCTTCCGTCTGGTTTTGAGAGATCAACATAAAATTTTGATGATTGATAATAAGAAAAAACAAGTGAAAGAAAATAAGGATTTAAACTCAAGTAATTCCAACGGTATTGGATTGAGTAGTAGTAATCCTAATAATAATTCTTTGAACAAGAAAACTTCTACATCAAGTCTTAGACGTCAATCCTTGTCTTATAAATCTAACTCTTCATCTAGATTTAAAATAAGTGGTTTGTTTAACAAAACTAGGCCATTTTCTCTTAATGTGTCAGGTTTATCAAATCAATCTGATAGGGTGGTAAGTGCTAAAGAATTACCGAATATTGAAAATCATCAAGACTTTAAGCAAAAACCGTTTTTGGTAATTCCATTGAAGAACAAAAAGGTTTTCCCTGTTTATTTATTACCATTATGTTTCAAAATTGATTCTGAGACTTCTAATGATGATTACTTCTTCCAGGCTCCTAATGAAATCGACTTAAATGACTGGTTAGTGAAATTAAATTACGCAAACAGACATTGGTTTTACTCTAGATTGATTAACTTGAAGTCTAATCATAATTACACCACTTTTGGTATTCCAATCAATGTTCTTTGTAATCGAGAACAGTCCTCTTCCCCTAGAGTATTGGACTTAATTTTTGAAGAAATTGAAAATGAAGGTTTGAAAGATATAGGTGTTTACAGAATCAGTTCTTCAATTAGTGAATTAAACCATTTGAAGACAACAATTGATAAAACTGGTACTGTTAACTTCAATGATAAAGCTTACGATGTTCATACTTTAACAAGTTGTGTGAAGTCTTACTTCAGAGAGTTGCCTGATGCCTTATTAACCGACAAGGTTATTGATGCATTCTTCTCATCAAAAGAAGATACTAAGTCTTCTCAGGAGGATAATGAGCTTAAGTTAGTTGAAAATTATAGAGATATCTTGAAGAATTTACCAACTATCAACTATTTTACTTTGAAACATTTATTACGCCACTTACAAAAAATCAGTCAATATAGTAATGAAAACAAAATGACTGCATCTAACTTGGCTACTGTTATAGGTCCTGCATTGACTGAAGCCAGTAGTTTAGAGTCTTTGGTCAATAACTTCGGTTTCATGAATTCAATTCTTGAGAAACTCATTGTTCATTATGAGTACGTATTTGAAGATACTGCTAATGATGCTTCTACTACTTATGCGGCAAGTATACTTGATACACATACGATCAATGAGAAATTTAAAGATACCGTTTCAATTCAATAATTTTTTTTTAGACTTCGGTCAAGGTGACACATCAGTAAGATAAAAAACTTTAATTGGTGTTTACCTCTTTACTTCAATTCTTGCTTCTTCTATACTATTTTGTTATATTCATTTTAATTGTTTGATTTGCTTTCTTTTTTTTTTTTTGTTACAATGTACAAATATGTCCTTTTTTGTCTTTTGTTGTCATAAAATAATAACATTCTTAATCCTATAAGTACGAGTTTTATTTCAATTAAAAACGTAGATTTACATATTAATCAAAAAAAAATATACGTGATTTACTTAAATTTTTCAGCTATATACAAGAAAGTCTAGACTAGATTAATGTTTTTTGATGTATTGACCTTGAGAACGATTTTTTCTCTTTTGGAGGGCAGCAGCCTTTTCTTGATTTTGTCTAACCTTATTTTCAGTACCTTGGTTTAATTGATCCATGAATTGATCTTTCCATTCGGAAAAGGTTTCAGCTGGTTTTGGAGCACCAGGATTGGCTTTAGGTTTGGCAAAATCTGGAAGATTCCTCCACTTACGGAAAGTTTTATTCTTCAAAAGGAAAGATTGCAAAGAGGAAAAGATGGAATTAGCAGCAAAATAAACAACGACGGCGGCTGGGAAATGCATGGTAGCAGCAAGACCAAAAATTGGAAGGAAATACATAGCTTTCTTCAAGAATGGCGACAAGGTTTGACCACCAGTTTCTCCACCGAGTCTCATCATAAGCATAACCATACCTGCTGAAATTACGTGAAGACCCAAGTATGGATCTGCAACACTTAAATCTTGAAACCAAGCATAACCTTGAGAGGAAAAGCCATCAACGGGGTACTCAGCCATGGTTCTTAAACTTCTATAAAAACCGTAGGCAATAGGAAATTGACAAAATGGGAGAAACATATGACTCAGTTTCACGTCGTACTTCTTCATTATACCCTTTTGCTTTTCACGCACCATAGACTGTTGATTAACATTAGCAGCTTCTCTCATTTCACGAGTAAGAACATCAAGTTCTGGCTTTGCATGAGACATTTTAGCACCATTCGCTGATGCTTTGACATATAATGGGAACAAAACAAGTCTCACGGCTACAGTGGCAGCAACAATGGTACCCCACCATGGCAAGCCAGTATAAACATGAGTATATTCTAAAAGATGTTCGACAAGAGCAGTTGGTCCATATCCATTTCCTAACCCAATCGATTCAAGATATCCAATTTGATCTGAAGTCATACTAGTAACTTGCTCCGGGATATTAGCTGGATCTTGAAACGAAGTCAATGCATCCTTGATTTCTGAGCTTGGTGCCGACTGAGATGAGTTAAATCTAACAAAGTTAGGCTTTTGCGTAAATAAAGCTCCCGAACTAGGTGCAAGAATGGAGCCTGTCTTTATTAACGGACTCTTTAAAGTACGCGTCGAACGTGCCAATCCCACTCTAAACATTCTTCTGTATTGTTCCGACTTGTGTAAGGCTCGGGTATAGCTCACAAGTGTATCTAGATATCAAACACTCTTCTTCAAGATTGAATTATTTCGATGTCCATGAAAAATCGAAAAAATCGAAAAAAAAAAAAAAAAAAAAAAATTTGTTGATGATTATGTAATCCAGCCGATTGGCTACAAAGAACTTGAAGAACTTGACTTGAATCACTGTTTTATTCAGTGGCCCTTACTCTTACATAGCACCACTATACTCGCTCGTGGCCCAAGCAACTCTGTCATTGTAATAAACGACCCAACTTATGTATCTATAGTAGGTTCAAAATGGACTCTATTCGCGTAAAAACCGTTGAAAATTATGAAAAAAAAGTTCATCAAAAGTTTCTGCAATACATCTTTGATTAACAGAAAGACTTATTGATAGATCTGACCATTCGTGAACGGTTCGACCCATGCCAGTGCTACTATTTGATTAAGGAGGCTTGAGATTCAGTTTAAAATTCCAATGTTTGCCAAAAGTCTTCGGCTACCGAGAAGATGCAAATCTTTTGGTATTCTGGTCGTACGATGTTTTACATCATCAAGGGTTGTTTATTATCAGAGCAAGTTGGCACAAATCAGTAGGGTGATTGAGGATCTGGTGTCTGGTTTTGAAAGCTCGGGCCGTAAAGATGAGGTCAACACTGCCCGATTCCAGCGAGATGTTTTAAGTAGGGTGAAAGTTTTATCACATCCAGATATACAAGGGTCAATTCCTAAGGAGGCTCTTCAGTTGGTAGAAGGAAATGAATTGAAAGTTAATGTCCTACTTCAGATTCTTCTATGCTCAAAGAATCAAGACCATGAGAGAATATATCAATTCATCGTTAATAATCTTTCATACCCCTTAAATAATGACCTTTTGGAGTCATTTGTTATATCATTGGCTTATAGTGAAAACATTCTAGCGGCAACTACACTCCTTCATGTTCTATTTGATAAGCAATCGCAATTTAAGCTCTCAAACGAGTCGTGGTCTTACTTTTTGGCTAAAGTATGTGAACAGAGTAATATACATGGTGCATTGTTGGTCTTTAATGAATTAATAGACAACCATACTTTTTACGACGATAAAACCTACTCTGCTTTGCTTCTGAATGACATAATCCCATTTCTCGTCTCACCTAATAGTTTGGAGCAATTGGCGCTTATATTTTTACAGCATGAAAATGACGTTGCAATAGCCGGATTACGCTCCTACTTTCAAAGGTTCTATTCGTACAATGGACATTCAAAGGCATACATAACATTAAGAATATGCTCTATCGAGGCAGCAAGTAAAAAGGAGGACTATGCGGGTGCTATGGAACATTTTGTGGACCTTGCCTGGAAATTCACCGGCCATAGAAAACAAAAAACATCTTCGTATAATGTAAACATATTGAAAACAAGAGTATTCTCAAACTATAGAGAAAGAAGAAGAAATATACGGCTTGGTACGTCCTTGGATGGTGCTACTATTCCAGGTGAACTCAAGACTTCGATAGATCATGAGCAGGACGCTGCAGCTGAAAGATTAGAATTGAAACTATTCATGCCACACGAGGAATATAATGTTTACACTGCTCCTGATCGTGAATATGTATCCATTTTAAATGGGTCCATACATGTCAACGATCTTCCCTCATTTAAAGAACTCGTTAAGAAAAATATTATAGAAACTAGACAAGAGAATATCAATTTAATCGATGCTCTTTTGACTTCAATTCGTAAAAGTCACTCTATGCTTCATCTATTCTTCGTATCCTCCCTATGCGAGTTGGATCTATTAGAAGAAGCATTTTCTTTGCTTTTGAATGTTCGGAAATATGTACCTCGGGTACACCCTAGAGTATTATACAAAGATGATAATTTCATGTATTTGATGAAAGGAATATATGAAAGAGTAAGTAAATCAATTAATGATCCTACTATGTCTTCGTTGGCGGTACTAGAGGATAGTTATTACCTACTTTCCAAGGTAAAAGAATTTCATGATAGGCTTACTAGACGAAAAAGGACCTTGGATAGAAGAGCCTTTACCTATTACATCTCAGCAATGTTACTCAATCCTTCCTTGAAGTTTGATCAATTGAAAATGGAATTGAATCAATATTTCCATAAAAACAATGTTACGATTTATTTAAACTCTTTGGAATACGATAAGTTTTCCAAAGTTTGCATAGCAAATCACTCGGCTGATTATCTTAATTTAGTCAAGCGACTTGATTTTTAATCCTGTAAATAAAGTTTATGATACACTTGTATTAATATACACATTAAATACGACATAATTCGTTGAAAACGGAAAGTTTTTGTAAATAAAATTACTAATCATCTCTTGGTGCATGCATTTGATGTATTTTGACATCAGAACGGTCAAGGTCTGCAACACTTGTTATATCTTGAGGAGTAATGAAGATGGATTGGGACTTTGGATACATTCTAAGCTCATTCAATAAAAGCCTTATACTAATTGTTCTATTAACTGAATCCATGAAAACATCAAATTCGTCTAAACCACGTATCTTAGAATCCATAACCCTCCAAATAGCTAATAACAAAGCAATCTGTGTGAATGACTTTTCCCCACCTGATAAGGACTCTACTGTTCTCATCAGGTTATCATTAGGAGTCTTCACAAGCATTTTCAATTCCTGGGTTGAATACATGAATTTTAATTCTCCAGTAAACCCTCTCAACGCAAGAGATTCTTCGAAAGAAGCCATGGCTTCATTGACACACTTATTGATGGTAGTTTGGGTATAGTTAAATCTGTTGGCCAAGTCATCATCTAAAATCCTTTCAGTTCTTATCAAACTATTCAATGTCTCTTCCAAATTGTCTTTCAATTCCTTACTCTGTAACAATTCATTTTGTACTTCTTGATATGATTTACCCACATGTTTTTCGGCTTCAGCAATCGTTTGCTGAATGTTTTTGTACTCTTCTGTGATGGAATGGGAAGTATCTTCAGGTGCAATCGGAACCTCTTCTCTTGCACACTTCTCTTCTGCCAAAGGCAAAATTTCTTGTATCTTTTGTTCAAATTTTTCAAGTTTTTCGTTAGTATCTTCAACACCTCTCTTTCTTTTATCGATACCTTTTTCAAAATGAGCAAGGTCACTAGTGAGTTGAGTACTTTGAATGTCAAAATCAGCTAACGCTTTTTCATTTTCATTCTTCTCTGATAACGCTGCTTTGTGTTTTTTTTTCAAATCAATAAAGTTAACCTTATCTTGTTCCCTGGAAGATATTATATGTTCTCTTTCTGCGTGAACAGCGTTAATTGTCCTTTCTCTATGTTCTATTTGCTCTTTGCATTCTTCGATTTCTTGTTTGAGTGCTTCAATTTTACCCCTATCTCCATCATCGTTCAATCGATTATTGATTTTAAAAATTTTGTTGTTGAGTTCTTTTATTTGAAGATTTAATTCATTTATTTCTTTACTCAATTGGTTCATTTCCTGTCTCTTTGTCTGATCCAAGCTTTTCTTTAAATCGTGGTAGTTCCTTTCTATTTCAGATGCTTTTGATTGAGCATTTGTTAATTTTCTATCCATATCAGATATATCTTGAGCTGTGACTTGTCTACCTCTAGATAATTTATTCAGGTTTTTGTTGTACATTATTGGATCAAGCCTGAGACTGCCATTTCCACCGCTATATCTCTCTGCACTGATATTATCTCGATGGTGAAATGCATTCCCAACTTTTGGGTGTTTTCTAGCCTCTTGTGCCAGATCAGAATCATCGCAAAGAACATCTTTCTCCACGTTATTTATATCAATCAAGGTATAGCAAACATCGGTATTTTCAAACTGAAGAACATCTAAAATCGTCAAGTAATCATCAGATTTACCTTTCAGATAATCAAATCTTTCGAAGGATCTCACAACGACTGTTTTATTTACTCTCATCTTTTGGAAAATATTAGTTAATAATTTCCGGTCATGTTCATCACAAACAAGATAAGAATCGAGGGTTTTACCATACATTGTATTGACCAAATAAGACCACTTTGAATATTCATTTTTCAAACTGACAAATGAACCAAGAGGTCCAAGTGGCACCTTGTGCCAATCAGGAACTTTTCTTATTTCAGCAAGCACAGAGTTTGTTTCTCTTCCCCATTGAGAGTAACGGTCCCTTTGAGAATTGGCCAAAGCTCTTTTTTCTCCCTCAAGAGCTCTAACTTCTTCTCTGGAATCTTGGATTTTCTGTTGTAGTTCTGATAGTTTTTCAGAATCGTGTTTATAGTCTCTACCTGATAAGTATTCAAGTCTTTCTTTAGATTTATCCAACTTCCTTCTTTTCTCGTATATGATTTCATTATATTTTTCTAGCTTTTCTGCTAGAATTTCTTCAGAACCACCCTGTTGCTGATCTAGACGATCCTGCTCCTTCGTGATCATATGCTCTTTATCTTTGATTTCTTTATTTATATCATGGATTTCTTGTTCACCTGCTTTTATATCTTCACTCATTGATTGTAATTGATTTTTTACTTTACCAAGGTTATCACTCTGTTTTTCAAGCTCGGTAGATAATTCTTCTACCAACTGATTCGATTCCCTTAGTTTCCGGTCCAAATCTAATCTTTGTGTTGCCCTAGAAGATAAATCCAGGTTGGTAGATTCCACATTTGTCTCCAACTCTGAAACTTCGAAGTTAAGCTGTTCAATTCTTTCACGATAACTTTCCATTTTTTTTTCAACTGATGTCACATTAAACCAATAAATCTTACCATGCATTAATTGTAATTGTCTTCTTAAGTTATCTGAACGTTTAAATTGTTCATACATGGCAGCTGATTCATCGTATTTTTTCACGGCCACGTCGAAATGTGTTTGAGTTAGCTTTATCTTTTCTTTAAGTCTTTGAATATCAGTAGAGATAAGACCAAATTTGTTAGTAATATCTTTGATTGAAGATCCTGACATGAAATATTCAAACTTACTTTTATCAGTGGTAGTAGTTAAGAATTCTCTTGCTTTATCTTGAGATAAAAAGGCCATGGGATTATCAACTGTTATATTAAACTTATGAAGAATTTCATCTAACAACTGTTTCTTTGTTGAAACTGTTTTCCCACTTTCGGATTTAATGGCATAAGAATTAGCTCCCTGTCTTTGAATTTTTCTTTCAATAATGATCTTGGACCCAAAAGTGTCTGGCTGAAATGCATCTTCGCCTCTATTTGCCAACGTTATTATGGCCCTAGCGGTAGACTTACCATCTTTGATCAAGGATTTTATTGATGATCCCCTACTAGTATCGGATGCTTTTGCACCTAAACCAACAGATATACCCGTCAAAATAGCACTCTTACCAGACCCGTTTCTCCCAATGATGAAATTAAGCTGGGGACTCAAGTTCAATTCAAATGATTCATGACACATGAAGTTCTTTAATACTAATCTTTCAATTACCCCGGCGGTCGAAGGACTCGAATCCTGAACCTCATCGTTTTCTTCATCAGAGTCTTCTGATTCCGACTCTGAACCTTCGGAAGAATCTTCATCCGAGTTATCGTCTTCGCTTTCATTGGAATCTTGCTGAGTCTGAGTCATCTTTCTTCGCTTGGTTTCTAGAAGCTGAGACATGTATTCTAACGCGCTCTGCCCATTGCTTGGATCAAAGTGACTATCCTCATGCAACCTCTTGGATCCTATCACTTCCTCGCCGTCATCTTCAGCAGATGGCATGGTTATCGGTGGTATCAAACAAGCTGGTTGATCTCTTGTTGATTGTTTATTTGTATTACTTGATTTTTTTTAAAGTTCAATTTTTTGCCCTGCGCGTACTTTTCACAATCCTCAAGTTGCAAATAACCTGGTAGCTTCTATTAGAGACCACCATAGTTGGAATGAGAATAGTCCCTTTGATAGGTAGCTGGTGGTGTTAGGACTAAAATGTTCAAGGCTCTGCTACTGTCAACCCACAGTGAAAAATTTGCCTTACGAAACCCGAGACATAATTCAAGATAAGCATATCCAAATTCCTCAAACACCATCTGAACTACAAAGATGCTTGGATATGGATTGGTGTATCGTTGTTAGCGAAGAAACTTACTTGGGTAGTTTCCTTCTTATCCGAGCCAAGAGAAGGTCTTCAAGATAAGCATTGCAAGCACTGACTGAAGACTGACTCAAAAACAATAATACTACCTCATTTCTAGTTGGATCCTACTGATCCAGTGTGTTTGGTTGAGCTTATCGAGGAACTTCATTGACCCGTTGTTGCCGTACCGTCAGAGTGAATTTTTTTGTGTTCTATTACGTTTAGTTGGTGTTGTGACAAAAATTTTCAGATACTTTGCTGCACTCTTTGTTTCGATTCGCTTTTGTCAGCCAGATAAAAGCACCGTCCAGCGACTTATATCCCGACAGCAATCACTGTTGAGAAGAATACGGAGGTAGCTGTTGGTAATGGAGAACACTGGTTAAAAGAGAAGAGTTTTGTTCTGTTGGCTTTCCTAAATGAGATGAAATTTAGACAATAATGGCATTTTTAATCGGGAACCAAGACATTGATGTTACTTTTGTACTTGAAGAATGCTCGACCCGATGAGGGAGTATAAAATGGAGAGAAAGGTCGGTTCAAACCAAAAGAAAGCTCAGTTGGATAACAAGGATGAAGATTACATCTATTTTGATAGCCTTTAGTGCTATATTACTTCCAATTTTAGCTCAACCATTGGATAAACGTACTGATAAAGACAGACAAGTTGAGTTCACCAATGATTCCAATGATGTGAAAACTGTATTTGGTAAACCATATGCCATATACCAACCAAAGGTTGTTGTTGTATCAATGTTTATGTTGGAAAGAGATCCATGGTTGAAAGATATGGATTTTGTCCATAATGTTAGTATTCCCGGATTAGCACCATTATACCCACAAGTTCATTTCACTACTGACTATTCGATTATGCAATTTACCACTGGAGAAGGAGAAATTAATGCAGCAGCCTCAGTTTCTTCATTATTATTAAATCCATTATTTGATTTCTCCAAGACTTATTTCTTAATTGCTGGTATTGGTGGTGGTGAAAGTAGTTTAACCACCATTGGTAGTGCAACTTTTGCTAAGTATTCAGTTCAAATTGGATTACAATATCAAGTTGGATACAATGAGTATATAAAAACTAATCCAAATTGGACTTCAGGATATTTTGGATATGGTGTTGATAATCCATGGACTTATCCCTCAAATGTTTATGGTACCGAAGTTTATGAATTGAATGAAAATTTAAGAGATCGTGCTATCCAATTAGCTAGAACTGGTGAATTAAATAATGGTACTGAAAGAAATGTTGAGTTTAGGACTTTATATGAAGAAGATGCTGCTAAATCTTCACCATCGATTGTTGCTTGTGATGTTTATACTAGTGATAATTATTATTTTGGTAATGAATTATCTGATTATTTCAAATCATATGGTGAAATGATGACTAATAGTACTGATTCTAAGAAATTTCAATATTGTTCAAGTGCTCAAGAAGATAATGCCTCATTAGAAGCATTTTTAAGAATGGATTTACATGGATTAGTTGATTTTTCAAGAATTGTTGTTATGAGGACTATTTCTAATTTCATTACACCACCACCACTTTATGCCAATGATACTGTTGGTTATTTTAATGATGTTGATAAAGGTGGTATTCAAGCATCATTAGATAATTTGGTTAACGCTGGTAAACCATTTGTTGAAGATATTATTAAAAATTGGGATGACGTATATTCCCATGGTATTAAACCAGATAATTATATTGGTAATATTTTACGAACTTTAGGAGGTGAAGCTGATTTCGGTAAAGAATCTTTTGAAGAAGCTTAAATAAATTTATATAGATTATATAATTATACTAATACCCAACCCAGTCTTAATTTATCCACTACTAAATTACCATCGACCCAAACTTTAACACAATTACGATCATCACCACTAAAAATCCATTTACTGATAAGATCTAACCATTTATCCTTTTCATTATTTTTAGGGATTTGCCAATCGAAAACATCGGTATTGGCACCTATTGCATCTAAATCAATTAATTGAGCATCAAATTGTTTACCAGCTTCAAAACTACCCAATTTATCCTTTAAGCCAACGGCAATTGCCCCAGCACGAGTGGCCATATAAAAAACATCATGGATACTTAATTTATCCTTTGACTTTTCAGTTTTCATTGCCAAATGATGACTCACCATTATTGAATGTTTCATTACTCCTAATATGGACTGTTCGTATCCACCAGATAAATCAGTACCTAAGGAAACGTTGATTTTATTTTCATATAAATATTTATGAATTGGAGCTTCACCACTACTTATAAAAGAGTTTGAAGTTGGACAATGACTAAGTGAACAATTTTCCTTTTTAATTACATTACATTCTTTTTCCGAAAGGTGTATTGCATGGGCTAATATGGTAGAGGATCCTAATAATCCATGATCTTTATAAACCGATGCATAATTGTCACATTCAGGAAATAAGCCTTCCACCAATTTGATTTCGTCTTTATTTTCTGATATATGGGTTTGAATTGGAATTTTGCAATCTTTAGCTAATTGACCTAATTGCTTTAATAAACTACTTGAACAAACCGGAGCAAAACGAGGGGTTATAATAGGTTTAACGTTGGTAAGACCATCACAATACCCTATCAAATCCTTCATTGCTTCAAGACTTTTATCTTTGGGTTCTTGATATTCAGGATATTCCTCATTATGATCCATACAAACTTTCCCAACAAAACCCCGTTGACCATATTTCAAAAGCAAATCCGCGAAAAGTTTAGATGTTTTGGTATCAATTGTAGTGAAATATGAAGCACATGTTGTTCCTGCTTTCAAAGTCCTATTAATGACTTTAGTATATACCAATTTTGCTAATTCCATTTGTTCTTTTGGATCAGAAAATCGTTTTTCTAATTTAAAAGTATAATTGTTCAACCAATCTAATAACGGGCAACCTAATCCAATCCCAATATTTGGATATTGGGATGCATGGATATGAGTATCAATAAACCCCGGCACAATAAACTTATAACAATCTTTAGAATAATCAACATACTTAAAATGATTCAAATTCTGTACTGGACCAGTATATTCTTGCTTGAATAACCTTATCCCATCAATACCAGCAGGTTGTGATGCCTCTTCTCGAACAAAATCAATGGTTCCTTCACTATTTACCCCAACCAAACAATTTGGACTTATAACTATCCCAGTTTCAAACGTTGGGGTATGAATAAACGTAGCCCTATATAACGTATATGGTTTTCTATAACTACCACCCCTATTCCATTGAGGTTCAAACGTTTCTTCTACACCTGGTGGTTCTTCAAAGTATGTCATCTTCCGTTAATCTCCTAGTTGTACTACAATAAATACGGGGGAGTATTTTGCTTTTTATAGCTGATGTTAAATTAAGATATTTCTACAAAAAAAAAAAAAAACACAAGCCCAAAACGATATCTCCCTACAAAATAATCACTGCGAGTTAAAACAGCAAGTCTACAGTCCTTCGGAGCGGCCGAGGCAAGTCCTACTGAAGCTGAGTCGCTTAACCTTGTCTAACAATTCCAGCTGAAACTCGTCATTGCCCAAACTTTCTTTATTTATGTCTCGTTTCAATTTGCTCCAAAGGCTCTGGCGATGCTTTGCGAAGAGCATCGGAGCCTCCGACGGATGCTCCATCGCCAACTCGAATGGAAGATCCGTACATCTGATCGGTTGTGTGCAGGGCCAGATTGATCCTATTTCTGATTTTGTGCGACTAATTTGTTTGCCGAATGTACGGCTGTTTTGTTTTCTTGGTGTACGGCTGTTTTGTCCGTGGTCCGGCGGCTAATTGATTCGATGTATCATTTTTAACAGCCAAAGCAGCAGCGGCAGTCAACTTGTTCTTCACTACTTGTTCTTCACTACTTGTTCTTCACTACTTGTTCTTCACTAC